TTCACAATTATATTTCAGCCTCGCAGCAATCCTACGGCAGAATGTTCTCGCGGCGGGGTGTGAGGGCTCGTGAGAGAGCCTCCATGGCTCCTTGGCTGAACCACTCGCTCGAACTCATGAGCAGAAGATGCCTCTCCTTGCCCGCTGGTTCGTGAGAAATGGTTACCACTTCGTCGTTGTAACTTCACGCCGTTCGACCTTTCTCGGCCCAAAGGGCAAATGCCGATGACAACAGCCCTCCCGGCGCGGCATGAAGAAACCCCCCAATGCCAAGCTGGACACGGGGCTGTCATGCAATGTAACGGGCAGTTGTCTGTACGGCCCGCTTACACAGTCCCGAAATAGCCTAAGCTGCTCGTCGCATGACCTCGAGTCCGATGAGGATATCCCTCTCCGATGACGGCCGGCTCTTGGGCGAGATGTCTGAATGTAGAACTCCCAATATTTGACAGAGCGTACCGTCTGAACAGTTGTTTCGCGGCTCACTCTGCAATTGGAGAGCGTGATAAGCAAATCGAGCCAGCGACCTTTGTCGTCATGCGCCTGCATAGTGCGATGCCTATGAAAGCCTTGCTGCTGCTTAGAGCTGTCGATTCACCGCCTCTGCATCAATTCTCGAGGCTACTGATGTCGAGAGCCATGCCACACATATCTCAACGAATACTTATAAATTCAGTGTAGGTATTGATGGGTTTGGACTCCTAGAACACAAATGATTGAGTCGTCCTAATTGATGCCTGCTGTTATGACTCTTGAGGATATTGACTTCTTTCGTAAGTGCTGTCTGCAGCAACGTACCACCTATGTGCATCACCTGTCTTCTGATCGCCAAGCTAGGTACTCCAGCTATCTCTGTCTCTCCTTGCTGTCGTCCCCAGGGCTTTACGAAATACTGCTGCCGCATACTTTCAAGTTGCCTGCAGAGCTTGCAGCACTTCATCCGACGAAGGCATAGGTAGAACTTGCTGGTGAGATCATGGCAAGAAATGATTTAATGAGTCCGTCTACACGCACTGGAAAAGCTCGTTGCCCTTATCTCAAGATACTTGAGAGAACTGACACCCTCATTCCATACGTCATCCCACTGCAAGATACACAGAAGGGCTGTCCATTTCACCGCCATCCAAAGCCTTGAAAAGCAATCAAGGCCGTATATGCCGCTTGAGATTGAGACAGAAATACCAGATGGTCCAGAAACCCGTCCCCAGTCGTAAGAGAAAGCCTAGGCTCTCCGATGGTCTGAACCATGACCCCAAGGCATGCATGCTTCGTCGAGGGGTCCTATAAAGTGTTGAGTCTCGTCCTTGAAGTTCTCTGTCCTGCGCTTATGCGATATATCATCGTCTTGGTATATCTGAGGCGGTAGTTCAAGGCTTTCAACCTTTGAAATACGGACGGTTTGCACTCCAAGTAATTTTGTCGATGTGTCAATACATTTACCGCGATAGTGGCTATGATGAGCTCTCTCTCACACACACAATAAGGTTGTTCGTGCATAGCAAGTTCAGTTAATAGGCCCTTGTTTTATATGCCAGGATCCCACACGCTGAAGACGTCATCCCAATCGGTGATGAGTGTCGTTCCAGGCAAGACCTCTGAGAACGCCGCGTCGAGTTTTATAAAAGCCACATGTGATCACGAGAAACTCTGGAGAAATCAAAATAAAATGATCGATTACTTCAACTGCTTCCGAGTCACTGCTTAAAGAAACCGCTGCCAAGCTTTGGCGTGACGAGTGCTTTCGAGAGGCGTCGAGCCGCACTACTTCTCTTCTATACTTACTTAGTGCTACCTCCTGCTCGCCGTTAGTGTCCTTCATATTCCCGAGAGTATAATCTCATAATAATCGAATCATCTATGGAACCTAGGTATTTTCGTCAAGGATGAGTCTACTTAGCAATTGACGAAACCTCCCTGGAGAGATGGCAAGTCCAGAAAGCGAGTCAAATGGGGACACCAAACTTGGATATCCGTACGGTAGCGAACATTTCGATGAGATTTTCAACAACTTTCATTTGATGTGTTTTATACATTTGCCTTCACGGTTGAGGTGCCTTGGAAGTGGCACGCCGGAGACATTGCATATGACATGCAAGATAGTCGCGATGGAGCAACTCGAACTCCGTGTGCAAGAAAACAGATTCAAATCGGACACATTGTCAGCATCGAAGAATAAAGACTAAGTCTTTTGACATTGGAGGTGATGTTTCTGGTAAGAATGATCGGTCATCTTCAACGATTTCTTTTCCGCCAAAGAGGAAAGACAACCAAGCTTTATGACGAGAAATGCATGAACTAACTCCGGCAATAGTACAGAGTTGAATCTGAGGGCTTTTTTTATGTGTTTCCTAGTGCAATGAATGCTATTATGTTTAATAAACCTAAGAAAGTGGCAGACTGCAGCATCACTATGAGGCTTGGATACATCACTAACACACACGTTCCTCACAGCCCCCGGCTGTAAACCTTTTCGGCACAGAACGCTCTCCTAAACTTTGGCAGAGAGACAAGACAATTCGGGCATTGTCGGCTACACCAATAGAGCATACGTAGAACCTGCCATTCTTATAGACATCTTCTGTCATAGTCGTGAAGTTTCTCTTCCGAGTTGCTCCGTCGTTGTTTCCTCAAAGCACCAGCTATATTTTGCGTGAACATCACCGAAGTCATCTCAAGATTTCAAACCAAATCAAGTTGATGGATCTTCTGTATTCCAAACTGCAAAGGACTTCGAGGTCTAACAGGAACACCGGAACTAGGCGATGCCAGAAACGCGCGTGATGGAGGTAAACATTATTGGCCCTCCCTTGGATATCCTCTCGCTTCGGCTTTGTCTCTATCACCAGACTACCCCGAATATATTTCTAACAGAACCAGAATAGAGCTCAGACAGAACTCGACGGTACCCAAACATCTTGCATAGCTGCATTGCCCACAACTACGAAAAGCATCCTAGCTCAGCCTCTCATTCAGGAGCGATGTCATTCCTTTGAATAGAGACAAAACTTGTACCGAACATGTCTTCAACTTGTACGAGCGTCAAGCTTCCGTGTTGCCCGGGCCGAGAACCACTTGCCTGAAAGAGGGGGTCATCCCCCAGTGGAAAACGCTTGTGTCTGGGTTGAGCCGACCATACATCTGACTAATTCGTGATAGAATCATACCACTGACCATGTGAAACAAACTGCCAATATTACCCATGATGCCAAGCATGTCATTGAAACGTCAGGAGGCCAAAACCACCACTCACAGTCGAACGGCTCCGGCATTGAAGGCCGCGATCACAAGCCAAGATGATGTCAGCTTTCTGTATACATCAAATATAAATACCCTCGTAAATCATATAGAGTTCTTGAAAATACACGGCAAGAATTTGGTAGTGGCAAGCCATTTTGCCGATACTACTGGCCAGCTCCACAGCAAGTTAGTCACAAGCCATGAGTGACTGTATCGATGTTCCAAACAGCCTCGTGCCCCATCTAACAGAGATCTCACATCTCCGTTGTCCGGTTCTGCCACGTGTATAAACCATCAAATACGCAAAGACGAATCGCAGCTCAACAGTTGTCAACTCACTGCGCTCCGACCAAAGATCAAGAGCCCGGGCATGCGCATCTCAACAACCCGGAAGTATCACAAGGCATACAACATGATGGCCGGCCTGATTGGTGCAAGAGGATGTGATATGGCGTCACTTTTACAGAGATATATATCAAACTGATTCCCATCAGTCGATCTATATGGCTTGTTGTTCAGTATGTTATTGCCACAGCCCACGCGGCTAGAGCCCAAGGAGCTCCCTGAGAGCTTCACTCCACGTATATATTTACCCTAAATGAGCAAAAGATTATCTGTCCACAAATACGGTCCGAGGACCACGCGATTGAGTCGAAAAGCGAGAGCGTGGGAGATCTCCTCACTCTAGTGCTTCCAACCACGCCGGCGTCTTGAACCTGCTGGTCACTGCTACTCCAGCAGGTGTCTCTTTAGGTCTGTTTCTCGCAGCTCTATCTGGGTATCCCGGTGGATACCCCTTCACACCCTCGGAACTTACCTTTCAGATAGCAGTCAGGCGCTTAAAGGGACCACGATCTTCGCACAGCACTCATAGTGTGGTCAAAACCATCTTCGGGCGATCATGTGCTCACGCAATCAGGAGGCCTTCCATCTACGGAATCGAGAACTTCAAACTCATGGCTGGTCAGTTAGCTCCATTACTTGATTGTTCAAGCCTTTCCTGGGAGCTCGTTGCCTACGTAGATCGTCTACGCTCACGACTTGTGCATATCTATGAAAGAGCCATGTGTAAATAGCGACGCCGACGTGTGCGTTCGTTCTATCACCACAAAATCCACTTTTAAGATAGGTATTGGGTTACATTTTCGAGTGCATGCGACAGAAGGTGCAGTTTCCGCATCTTTGCCGCGTAGTATATAACCGCCAACTGCTCTTCCCACATTGCTCAACCGTCCAGTGTCTCCTCAGCTTGGTTATTTGACTGCAATACGGAAGAGAAACAGCCTGAGCGACTGAGGTACTGCAATGGGATTGATGATCACTGGCAAGCCATTCAGTGGCAGGATTTCCACCGGCCAGGCTGGTAATCGGCTCTCCAAACAGGTGCCATATTTGGCGATAGATCAAATTCGAAAACGTACGCGGGTGAATGAGTATGACCTCAACAACGTCCGCGGAAGGGTCGTCGCGTACGCCTTAGATGCCAAGCATTCTCCGTGCTGCGCGAGTAGATGGGCACATGGAAGGGCACTTACTCCAGCCACTATACTCTCCTAAGTCCGAATACTCTAAGTTATCATCCTTGCGAGCGTTGCGTCAACTGGCTATAAGGAGACCTCAAAAACCTTTGTGAAAAGCTCGCAGTCTATTCCCTCCATTCCCTCGAGCCATCTATCTTCATGATTTTCCCAATTCTATCGATCCCAATCCGCAAATCGTAAACTTTTCCCATCCAAGAACACCCATCACCGCATACCCACCGCCTACGCCTCCAGCTTCTCCTCAGGCCACCTCACCTCGTACCCGCCCACCGTCTTCTGCACCTCCAAATCACCGGGGTCATTCTCAAAAAGCGGCTTCTCCATCCTCTTATCCACAACCTGCTCGACCACAAACCCCCTCTCTCGGCACACATCAAAGAACGCCAAATCCTTGTGCCTCAACCACGGCCGGTAACTCGTGAAAAACACATACGCCACGGCGTCCCTCCTCCTCGCCAGCGCCATCTCAATCGTGTCCACAAGCTTCCCGTGCTCTGAATGCCTAAACAGCAAATCCGCCAGCACCAACACATCAAACCTCGCCCCTTCCCCGCCCCCCAGCTTCTCAAACAACGGCACCACGTCCGCGCCCCAAACATACCCCGCCGGGACCACCACGCCCTCCAGATCCCCCGCCTCGTCCACGTTCTTCTGCATCGTCTGCACAATCTCCACGTCCGGGAAGTCCGTCACCACAACCATCTTCGCGCCCAGGATCCCCGCCGTCAGCGAGGGCAGGCCCGCGCCCGCTCCGAGCTCGAGCATCGTGCGCCCCCGCACCCGCGCCGGCTCCGCCTCGAAGTAGTCCGAGACCACGCGGCTGCCGTTCCACAGGTGGTGCGCCTCCGTCGGGGAGTAGCCGACCAGGTGCAGCGTGAGCACGCGGCCCGAGGCGAGCGTGTGAGACTGCGTGGTCGGCGGCGGCGTGGGCGGGTAGTAGTCCTCCGGGTCCTGGAAGAGGTCGCCCGTGTCGCCGTCGGCGACGTCGCTGACTGGGCTCATTTTGTTGGTGAGAGTTGGTGAGAAGTTGGATGGAGGGGTCGTTGATGGCGGGGGAGGGGCAGAAATTTCGTGGACCCCGCGATGAAGGACTGTAACGTGATTTGAGACCTCGGCTGCTCGCAGGCCTATTGATTTGTCTGTGTGACTCCAATGAGTCTAGTGGTTTGTTAGATGCGGTCTCAGTGAGATTTATACAGGGACTCACTTGCGTGTGTGTGGATGTGGTTGTGAGAAGATGAGTCGGGATTTTCCAGACTTTTTTTTTGCGATGAGGTGAAGTTGTGGGTACAGTGCGCGCTGCCCCTCCATCACCCCTCTGGTTCACATAAGATAGATGGTTCTACTGTGCGAGCGCTTATCTCGCACTCAACCAACTCCAGACGAAGATCGAGAGTGGCATCAAGCCTGAAATATCTTGAAATAATGATCAGATTAGTTGTACTAAGAATGTGAATGCATCGGCTCCATGCCAAATGTGCAGAACCACGCCTCCTTAATGCTATTAAAACTCGCGCCCCATGATGCCAATAAACAAGTAACGATTCTCCGCCTCAACCAAATCTCTGCTTCGCCAACTCCTTCAACCCCTTCATAACCCCCTCCTCCCTCTCCCGATACTCCCTCACCCTTTCCTCCCTCTCCGCCGCCCTCGCCCTTGCAACCTCCTCCCGCCGAATCTCCCTCTCCGTCTTCTTCCGCTCCTCCCGCGCCTTCATCGCCCGGTACTCCGCCACCGAGTCCCCGCCCCCCATGAGCTCCTGCTCCCCGACCTCAACCTGCCCGTCCCCGCTCTTGTCCGCGAACCCCTTCATCTTGTCGTTCACCAGCGCCCGCTTCTCCAGCTTCCGCTCCCTCGTCCCCGCGTCCGCGCGCGGCACCAGCTCGTCCAGCCGCTCCCGCTGCTGCTTCCGGTCATCATTCCTCTGCGCCCGCAGATCCTCCACCTGCGCCTCCCGCTCGCGCTGCGCGTCCTCGGCGAGGTTCTCCCGGCGCAGCGACAGGTCCGCGAGACTCGGGATCCCCGGCCCGGAGCGCCGTCCGCCCTCGCGAGCGGTGGGCGGCAACATCGGTCCCAGGTCGTCGTCGTCATCATCATCATCATCGCGCTCCTCCTCCCCATCCTCGTCCACATCCTCCTCAGTCCTCCCCAGCGGTGCATCCTCCGGAGCCCTCTCCTTGGCAGCCATGAACATCTCCGGATCATACCACCCGGAGCTCAACTCCCCGCGGTTCCACTTCCCCATGAAACTCTTCCACCGACCCCGGACCTCCCGCTCGTCCATGTCGCGCATGTCCTTTTGCTTCTGCAGGTCCAGGTAATACGCCAGCAGCGGCCTGAAGACGTCCAGATCGTTCTTCGAAAGCGCGCGCGCGTCGTACGGCAGTGCCGCCGCCGCAGAAACGTCTTTGCTGCTGCGCGCGCTGCTCTCCCGCGGGCTGTCCCGATGGTGATGCCGGTGGCTCCTGTGCCGATGGTGGTGGTGCCGCCGCCCCTCATCCCTCTCCTCTTCGTCGGACCTCCTCGGCCTCTTCGCCCGATGCTCCTCGTCGACCGGCGACCGCCGTCTGACATCCCCGCGCCTCCGCTCCGGCGATCTCGACCGCGACCGATTCCGATTCCGATCTCCCGGCATGACGGTGCTCCGCAAAACTTTCTTTGGTGTGTTCGGTGCAGATGAGACGGTGATAAGATAGAGGCAAGGCAAGCCGATGGAAGGTCAAGGGGGTTGGCGAACAGATGTCCAGACTTGGGACAATCAAGCTTTCCCTCACAACCAACACGTCAAAACACGCCCCTTGGTCCCAACTTCCTTGTGAGGAACGGACGGTAGCTGACAGGGATCTCCTTACAGGCGCGAATCGTCACCGCGTCGGTTGGGTCGCCGTCGTTTTGTTTGACTACAGTTTCAGTGCGTTTGGAACCAGCAATCCCGCGAAAAAGAGTGCGAAAGCCAGCCGATCAGCCGAGAGTTCGTTCGCCGTCTGATGAATATGGCGAAAGGATTGACGAATGTAACCGTTTAATCTTGTTGATGCTGCAGGCAATGGAAGGTTAACTGGGGCAATTCGGATGAGCCGATGCTGTGCGTTCCCCTTTGCTTTTTTTTTTTTTTTTTTTGGTCGTTCGGCGTTTGTAGTTGCAGAAAGAAAGAAAACGCCCACCGTAGCGGGCAGAGAAAAAGGCTGGGGCTCTGGGTGGCTGGGCACCCGGAGCCGTGGGTACCCCAAATTCGGCCCCGGAACTTACCACCTCCCCCGGCCAGAAGGTGCCGGCTTCCCCTCATGAAATATTGACGACGGTCCCCGAGAACGCCCTTCACCCCGGTCGTTCCATATCGCCGGGTCTGTCAGCCACGTCCCTGTCGAACTTGAGATGTTTCAATGTTCAGCAACTCAGGCATGACTGTCAAGGAGGGCAAGAAGCGAGAGACTTGGAAACAAGAAATGGGAGTGACAGACAGCGACGTATATTCGTCAGGACGTAGCCTGATCCCGAGATCTGTAGAACCTCGATAAAACCTCTATACAACAGAATCTTCGACAGCCTATGGCGGGTATCGACATTGCAAAAATGAACACCGAACGATGCAGAGACCTTATCACGGCAGAAACATGCCGGCCTTCCGGACCATTCCCGTTTCCCATCATCCCAGCCATGCCATCGTAAACATATACCACGAACTTTAAATCTCATCCTACGACAACTCCCAACGGGCTTCCCCTCCTCGTCTTCATGACTCGGGCAAAGGATTGTTGTGTATCGTGCAACCGAGACACTGACAGTCGTCGCCGCAGGGACACGACGAAGTCTCGCCGGCGCAGCCATCCCCGTCAAAGGGATACGTGACGAAGAAGAAGTCGCTGGCCGACAGCGCCTGTTCTTCGCTCAAGCCTGATGCGGCATCGGATGGCGTCTGCGGTGCAGGGGGCGAGCCGCCACTTTCGCCGTTTGTGTGTTTCTCGACTCCACGGACTCCAGCTCCGTTGGTTGTCGCTTCCGAGTGCCCGTTGGCGCCGTGGGTACCGTTCGTACCGCCATTTGTCGCTGCATATCCATCCTCCATCATGCTGTTCCACGCAGACCGCACGTAATCCTGAGTCGCGTCGTTATAAGGGTGGGCAGCACATCCGACACACTGACATCCGTCGCCGCAGCTGCACATGTGCGATGTCGATTCATCCATGGCGAGATTCGTGCCTTCAGGTACAAAGCCAAGGGGCGCGGGCATGTTGAATCCTGCCGGTTGTGGCGAAGGCTGTCCGTACTGCAGAGCCTCCATTGTCTGCCTCCATTGAGCAGGTTGCAGAGGCGACATGTAGGATCCGTACTGCGGCGGGTAGGTGAAGATGGTAGGCTGGAAGTAAGACTGATACATGCCTTGTGGCATGGCAATCGGTGTCTGGAAAGGGGACATGGCCATTCCGTTTGGTGACATATGGCCATTCAGGTGGCCGTTCGTAGCCACATTCGTGTTGATAGGTGGCGCCGCTTTGCTGGAGCAGCAGCCGCCCGTCTTCGGTTTCGGCTGAGTCTTTGGGCTCGATGTGACGCTGGACGGTTGCGTTGTGGTGCCTTCACTTTTGCTCGCTCCTCCGCAACATGAGCCTCCTGTGCTGGCGGTTGTCGGTGTAGGCGCCGGAGGCGCAACGGCAGCCTTCGCAGCTCCTCCGCAACAAGAGCCTCCGTTTGATGCCTTTGGGGGGGCCGGTGGTGGCGCAACTTTCGGTGTGCTCGCTGTTGATACTGCACCATTCTGCGTCATCATCGACCCCGGTGGAAACATGCCGGGCATTTGCGGGAACATCGGGTACATGATGGGCTGGTGGAAGCCTCCATTGACGGCGCCCATCATGGACATGGCCCCGTACTCCATCCCGGGCCTTGGCGCCTGCATGCCCGCCATTCCGTTCGCGTGGGGCAAGGCGTTCGCCTGGGCCATGTCGTAGGGCGGCAGGATGTTGACATGAGCAGCGTCCATTCTCTCCAGGTTGGCCGGATCGAAGGACTGTTTGCGACTGGCGGCTTTGGCGGCCGGTTTCTGGACTCGGAAGGAAGCGGCGGGGGCTTTTGTCGGTGACATTGGCGGGGCATCGCTGGCGGGCGACTCGGCCTTGACGACGCTGGATGTGGCGGACGACTCGGTGGGCGTGCCGGCGGTACTCGAGCCGCAGCCGCATTTTTGCTTCCTGGGGATGGCGGCGGTGACGCTGCCGCAACCGCAACCGCGGGCGGGCGGGTGAGGACATGTGCTGAGCGGGCGACCGGGCTTTCGTACGGGGACCATCAAACGCTCATTCGCGTGGGTGCATTTTGTGGAACGATGACCACGGATGCATGGCTCACTGAGCAACGAGCGCGATCACAGGTCAGCGTCTTCAGGGTCTCAAAGTCGGGTGATGCGGGGTTGGAGTAACAAGCAGACAAAGCGCAGTGTTCAATAAGGCAGTGAGCGCGGAAATCAGGAGGGAAATGCGACGAGGGGAGCGACAGGAGGGATGGACGGCGACTTACCAGGCCATCTTCTGGCCGTTGATGAGCGGCATGGCGGGCGGTGGTTTGGTGATCTCGGTGTCTGGTGAGGCAGGCAACGGAGGGAGAGATTTTGGCGAGTATCGGCTCGTGGGAATGAAGACGAGGACGATGAAGCTCACGAAAGAAATCGAGCAGAGACGATTCTCGCTTTGGCTCTGACTCCTGCAGACCTTGGACCCTTGGAGTGAGCCGCGAGGTGAAACATGGAGGCGGGCGCCAGTTCGAAGGGTACAGTGTCCGTCTAGCAGGCAACGGATGTAGTCAGAGGTGATTGTACGTATCGCATTTGCAGTTTGGCGGAGGGCTGAGGGCGACGATCGATGAGCCGGAGTGGTTGAGAGTGAGTGTTCAGGACGGCAAAGGTGGGCGAGGTGTTGTTCAGTGCAGTCAATCCGGCGACGATACAGGGCGGGACGAGAGACCGGAGATTGGAGATTGGCGAGAAAATGGAACGGCGGCTGAGGAATGTGGAAGAGGTGAGTTGAGTGAACCGCAGTCTGGGTCGGCGAAGGTAAAGAATGGCAGCCCAGGCAGGCCAAAGTGCACTTGACAAGCACAAGCACAAGCACAAGCACCAGCACCAGCGTCCGGGACGGGAAAGCGAGTAAGGCCAAAGGTACGACTCAGACGCAGCGGCGGCGGCACGGGCACGGCGGCAGAAATGTTTGTGGAGGGATGGCAGCAGTTGTTAAGGCCGGGGCGGTCGCTAAAAGAGAGAGAGAGGGCCCCTCCAGGCTCTAGGGGAGGCAACAGAAACGGGCTGGTGGACCGTTTAGGTGGACGGACGTTGGGGATCGGCCTGCAAGCCCAGTCCATACTCCTGGCACCCTAGGCCAACATTGGGGCTTTTGCTTGGTGTCTCTTTGTGTTTGCAAGATGACGACAGGAGACTGAATGATGGTTTCTCCATCCTTGAGGTATGTTACTAAGGCAAGGTTGACAGATGCAGTGAAGAGAGCCAGGGAGAGAGATAGTGAGTGGTCAAACAGAGACATGACCAACACCAGCCAACACCAGAAAACCACCTCATAACAACACTACCAGCGGCTAAGTCAGAGCCCGCTAGAGCAGGTATCTATCTACCTTAGGTGCCTACCTAGGCGGCGCTCGCACGGGCGGGCTGGCTGCTGTTGCTGTTGTTGGCTGCCCGCCCGCTGCCCAGGTGCCCGCCCAGCTTGTCGGCGGGACAAGAGCGAAGCGGCGATGGGAAGCCGCCAAGGATCCTGGTAGCGCATCGAAACAGCCCCACGTGCGGGGGGTTCTTAGCGTCTTCACAGGCACCGCACCGCACTCCAGCCCGCACCGCACCACCTCCCACCTGCACTACTATGCAGTATGCACCATGCCCTGCACCACCACCCGACCTCACCCACCCACTTACATGGCACCCGATATGTAAACCCATCTATCAATCTCGCTCGTCCGCTCCACACGCAAGCGCCTCAAGGACTCATCAGCCCAACATGAGATTGCTCGCTCGGCCTCACCTCACTTCACCTTGCCCTGCCCTGTTCAGACGGGCAACTCTCTGACCAAGACTGACAGCTACATCAACACGATCCATCCGTCCCAATCCCATCTAATGCCGTCCCATCTCAGGGTCCCTGGACGTCCTTCAATGCGACTATCCTCCCTCTACCACCACCTACCGAAGTGGCATTACACTTTATATACATAAGGTATCTGAAAGGTCCCTGCCGCTACCCGACCCGACGTCTCCCGCGGGAGGAGAGGGGAGGGAGGGGTAATCAATCGGGTCGATAAGTACGGGCTGCGTGCTCGGCGCATGGACTCTGCCGCGGCCCTGCCGCTGCCATGCCGTGCCTCGTCATGGTCGTCTCGTGGGTTGATGGTGGTGCTGCCGCCACGAGGCGACGACCAAGTCTAGATCCCTTTTGGATCCCAACCTCCATCACCGCATCTCTCCAGCCCAGTCTGATGGGTAGGTGGAAGAGTAAGTGCCTAGACATTCTTAGACAACCATCTCCCGCCCCGAGACGAATCCAACTTCACTCTGCCAGGGATACGCCGACAAAGATACACGAGGACTAATAACAGCATCCTGCAGTCAATACCTCAAAAGTACCTTCGGCCATGTTTCTTCTTCGCGTCCCTCTCGCATCTTTGACATGTCCCGAAAGCTCCATCTTCGCCGGCACCCCCTCCCTCCCCCTTCCCAACTGGTCCCCATCATGAAGGGTAACCCATCCAAGGGTCTAGCTCCGAGCCGTGGTGCAACATAAAGAGGCTGTCGATTCCCGCAGTTGTTTTCAAGGAAAGAGGCTGGACGGTTCGCGGGCCCCCGAGTCCATGGTCAGCCTGGCCCAGCAGTGATCAGAACCGGCTCTCACTCGTCTAGTGGTTCCTGCTGAGCCGTCTTCATTCTTGCATGATCCGAACCCGTCTGTCAATGCTTTCCCGTTTAACAAGATCACAGCAATTATCGCCCTTACCCCCACACGGATATAGCACTTCTTTCTACGGCTTACAAGTACGCGCATTCCCAAGCCGCAGCTCCCACGGCCGAGCCCTCTACATCGGGCAACTCAAGCGTGGACAAAGGGCCGGGAAAAGAGGAGAGGAGACCACAGGGGACCCAAAAGCCAAACGAAAAAAGAAGAGAGACACGCAGAACAAGATGGACGTGGACTAGACGTGGAGGAGGGTGGGATGCGAGCTGTCGATACTCCACCGTCAGAGGCTCGAGAGGCAAGGGAAGTGAGCAAGTTTTGATTGGCCGGATCCGGTACACCAAAAATTCAACGAGACGGTTGTCGAACGAGCAGACGCTGGTCTTTTTTTTTTTTTTCCCCTTCTTGCCTTTTCCCCTTTCCCTGCTCCTTTTCCCACCACCCCTCACAAAAGGGTTTTACTTGGACGAAGAATGCGTATCCATGGCTGTGCAGGAATAGCGCTGGTGAAATATTCACAGACGGGGAAAAAAAAAGGTGGGCACTTGTGATGTAAATTAGGAAGACACTTGCACCGCGCCGCGCCGCTCTTCCTTAACTCTCTCTCTCTCCCCTCCCTACCTGGGTATCTTCTATAATTGCGCCCGTTCTTTTGCCTTCGGTACTGCCCGTATTTCGACGCAAGTCTGTTGTCTGCGACATCTCTGTTGGAGGCTTGGAGTATATGAGATGAGCCTCTTGCTGCAAGGATGGGTAAACATCACCAGTGCAGCAACGCCAAAGAGCCACACCAACAAACTTTGGCCGACAGACCCAGACTCGTTACTAATACCACCAAACCCTCCTCCTTCTGTAGACTCGCCCTCTGCCTCAAATCTGCAATGCTATGCCTCCGACGCCTGGCCTGCCTGGAGAGAAGAACTTGGCGGCCCAATGTCGGCAACATGTACCTGTATGAGATAGTCACAACCCCCCCTCCACATGCACCCTGTCCGCGCCCACCATGGTCCAGTCAAGACACCCGCGTTTGCAATGCTAGACACCGGGCTACTCTTTCAATACTCTTGGGTTCTTCATTAGGTGAGCAAGATTGTGAAGCCGCCAACGCCGCCCCTGGCCTTTGCCCCCTGGGGCCTACCTTCGGAGACACGCCCTGCTTCCGCCACATGCGCAACAGTTAGTTTCCCTCATCCGAGTCCCCGGAGTCGGCAAACATATCCACCGCCCTCATTCGTTTCCTAGGCCCCGCCGGCTTGGACGACAACTGCAACCGTCCGACAGTCTGTGGTGTGCCGTTGTTGACATCTGCGCTCTCTGCTGCCTCCTCTACCTTGCTAGGTTCGACCGGTGCTGGCTGATCCTCCGCTTGTTCGCCCCCATCATCTTCCTCCATCGGCTCTCCCTCGACGTCATCTTCTGCCATTGGCTCACCCTCCACGTCCTCCTCGCTCATTGGCTCGCCCATGACATCGTCCTCCATCGGCTCACCAGCAACATCCTCCTCGTCCATAGGCTCTCCTTCGACATCGTCCTCCCTTTCGGGTGTGATCTTCTCCGATATCCTGAGCCTAGGGGCCGCAGCGGCGGTGTCGACATCAGCGTTCGAAGCCTCCACCAGCTTCCATTTGCGCTTGTTAGCGGCCTCGTCGTCTTCTGTTTGTTCCTGGACCTTGAGAGATGGTGGGTTGTCAAAGCTGCTCGCAAACATCTCCTGGCTCTCCGCTGGGAAGACGCACCAGCCTTCCCAGAGGCCAAGTACCAGTCCGACGCTGCGCTTCCACTTCTCAGCCCGCAACCGGCCCCATTTTAGCTTCTCAGCCATCAGACCGAGACCCTCGAAAATCTTGCGCTCTTTGAGTGCTGCTTCGAATAGTTGTCGATATCGCCAAGCTCGCTGGATGCCGCTGTTTGAGGAGGCGGATAGGATATCGCTAACCACATACAGCCCAACGAGGCTTGCGGCGCTGGTATCGGGACCCTCCTTGTCGGCCTTCTCTTCCGGCTCGGGATCAGACTGCTCGGAGTCGTCCCTTTGTCTGCCTCTTTCCTTGCTGTTCGACTGAAACTCCCGGTTCGCCCCCGTTCGAGCGAAAGGCTTTTCGATATTCGAGACGATCATGTCGACAACCTCTTCGGCACCTCTACCTGCGTGCGTGAGGGCAAAAGTCGTGACTCGCGCAACGTCTCCCTTTCGTATCTTTGATAATGTCGTTGGCAGGCGAGACAGTAGATGGGTGAGCTTGGCTTTGTCGAGCGGGTTTAGGAAGGTGACCTCGGCCTCGGCCCCTTGGCCTTCGCGGTTTTCACCATCAAAGTCTTCGTCATCTGAAGAATTGTACTCGGAATCGGACACGAATTCATCAATCGCAGTGACAAACTCGTACGGTGGGTTCTTTTCTGGTGCTTTCCAGGCGTGGCTCCCATCGAAGAGCGGCAAATACCTCCCTTTATTCCGGCGTGATTCCGAGCCAGTGATGATCTCCCAAAGCCGCCAACGATACCATATGCCTCCTTCGCTCCGAGCATCCCAGATCCACGCCCACTTCTCCTCCCTCTGGACCTCGGGACGGGTCATGAGAAGAGCCTCAAACTCCACGCCATGCTCTAGAACAGACTCGACCGTCTTGTTGATGAGCTGGAGCATCTTGATGTCGTTTGGTGGCTTGACGGGAACATGAAGCAGACTGTTCCTGTTGACTGAGCCTGCGGCGTTCGGCCCATAAGAGGTGGGCGGCGCGAAGCCCCGATGGAAAGACTGCTGCGTTGCGGCGTTGCCTGGTGCGGTCTGTTGTGCCACGGGCTTGGCCCCGAAAGGCTGCGATCCAGCAGTTGTGCTGCTAAGTGTTGATGCTGTGGAAATCGCAACGGCTGAGGAGAGATGTCGGTGCAGCGAAAGATTGAATCCATATCCAAGGTAGCGATTCTGCAATGAGCTTACTGCGGCGTCCATGTCTGTTGCGGGTGTTTCTTGTGACAAGGTGACAATGGCTACCGCGCACTTCCTCTCTGTACCAGACGGACCCCCGGGTGGAAGAATCTTGACGTTCTCGACGGTCAGGTTGGACGGTATCAGTGACTTGATGAATGCCATAGACGTGCCTGGCGGCAGCTGGGACAGGCGCAACGTTGGCCTGGCCACGGCCATCTCCTCTCTCGAGTCCGACTTGCCTTCCTCCTCATCATCGCTGTTGTGAAATGCTTTGGAGACTGACATTGGCTCTTCGCGATCGTCAAAGCCCAGCCTGCCACTATCCCTCTCTTGCCTGTATGCGTCGAAACCTCTCTTTCTCCCGAATGATCCTGCGGGAGGACCCAAGCTTCCTGGACCACTCTTCATGTTAGAAACAGGACCCAAGCTGCCTGGGCCGCTCTTAAGTGCAGATGCGCCAAAATGTCGTTTCGATGCAGCGACTCCTCCCAGCGGCGCGCCGCCGAAACCAGGGCCCTTCGGTGGCCGTTGTGGAGGGAAAGAGCCAAAGCGGCTGCTTCCTGTGTCGTCATCGTCATCGTGGTCGAAGCTCTTGACGAAGTCTTGGTATACTGCGGCCGTCTCGGCGGCCTCGCGGGCCTTCTTTGCTTCGGCTTCGGCTCGTTGTTTCTCGAACGCGGATTGCTTGGGTGCCTTCTGGAGCTTCGCCTCCACGTCGGGAAACTCGACCAGGTTCTTTGCCGAAGACATATCTACCGAAGCGACCGTTGGAAGTCGCGTCGCATAGTCGGGAGAAACGCTGTGGGAGAGAGAATGCGCGATCGCGATCGACAATGGTGAAATGATTTGCAGTTGGAGAGTTGTAACGCTGTAAGTGATGCGCCTGGTGCAGAAAGGTGCCTTCGCAGCGGTTGTGGCTTGTACAGTGAGCTAGGGGCCAAGTCATCCCTTTCGCACTGTACACGTGAGGCGTCCACAACTCCACAACATCGATCCACCTCACGATGCCGAAGCCAGAAGCGTTTCCACCTCAAGACATGTTAGTGATCAAGTACTTATGATTGATCTATCTCATATTGTACCTGTCCTCTCGAAGAAAAAGACAGAAATCTAGGCACACAAAGCTTCTTGCTCAAAACAGTCACAGATCATCTTCAGTAAACCAGAGGTTCCAAGCTCAAACAAAACACCAAAAAACATACAACACCGGGCATTCGCCGGTCATCACCGACCCGACTACTACTCCAGCCCTCACTAGCTTATCTATGGGAGAGCGGACGGGATCCCGAGTTTTCTAATGGGTATGGTCGTATGTGGCAGAAAGAGAGAGTCAAGCAGTAGATATTGGCATCTCAGGCGGGCAGCCTCAGATTCTGGTCATCACTGTCATGCGAAGGATAGCTGTCAACGGTTCAAGAGACTCGGTCTGCTTCGTCTCCTCTTCGGACTGTGTGGATAATTTGTAACAACCCTCTCACTGGTAATAAGAATCATGTTTTTGTACTGGTCTGGCCAGGTGTAATGTACAGCTCTATTATGACTGCAACCCGTGGGCGTGGACTCAAGGACCACGTTAAAAGCCGTGGCAAACTTCTCTGTGTAAAGTGAAGTATTGCGTAGCACTAGGTCCTTATAACTTCTGGGCTAGTTGATTGGAACAACGTAAGACAGCGTGTGTAGATTTAGTACCCCTCCAAGCTGAGAGATTCTATGACATCTCAAGACAATGCAGGTGTGCTGTGCAACAAGAGCGTCTCTGACCCTGCTTCGACTCGCAAGGTGTCGGAAGAACTCATCTTCCTGGACTTCAGAAAGACCTCTACAACACATTCTTGACCTTGCGGTTCTGCTGACGAAAGGAACATCTACTCAAGGTAACAATGTTTACAAGTCTTCTTTTGTGGCAAAGCCGCAAATATTGAAACGGGCGGGTAGTATTGGCTCACATGCACGACATGGACGATATGGACGCCAGTTTTCAAGGTACGCCATACTTACATAGCCTGGTAAATGACCATCGAGTGACCATCTCCTTTTCATCAACGGATAATCCAAAATGGGGCGCCGAGAAGCTGCCATGCTTCTTGACGATTGGTGGGAGAAACGGATCAAACCAGTGGAGCTGCCCTGATTGTAATTTACCCATCAACACCATTGTATGGGCCACCTCAATTGCTCTAACAAGAAATAGACGGTGCATTGGGATGTATTGTATTGGAAGTTCTCTGGGAGCATTTGGATTCCTCCCAAGTCCAACCATTGGACAGAGTAACTATGAAAGTGATCACTTACAGAGCTGAATGTTCCCCAGAGCTAACTCAACTGCTGATGTTGGAATAGCCATGCTGGTCAAATGATCGCCCTCTTGTGCCAGGCACGATAAGAAGCTTGCCTTTTGGTCTGCCTGCTTGAGCAAGAGAGTATCCGCCAAAGGATATGAACACAATGGACAACCTTTGTCAGTATGTGATAGGAAACAACAGTCATCTTTCAACCCTTGAAAGGGCTACCATAGCCAAGGTCCCCACCAGAAAGGAGCTGCACATCACACCGCGTGGACATCACAGCAAGGACACCTCAAGTGTTTGTGAACTTTCTATTAAGGAGATCCCTTCCTACTCACTTCTCCTCATAACCTCCGTGTCTGCCTGATTGCCTGAAGAAACGAGTACCGTTCTGTGGGGGGTATTGGTGCTATCGCCAGCGAGCGAAGCCAGGCAACTAAACAAAAACCGTAAAACGCCTTCCTGGAACCATAGTGCGGGGTAGCAAACGACGCATCCCAACGAGACCTTCCTGGGGATAAGAGAGCCGGACACCCATCTGGGTTACCGCCAGTCTTCCTGCCCACCAAAGCCTAAGCATACATGCCGGCCGTAGGGGACGATGCCAACACACAAATTCAGCAACCATCTGCCGAGGTGACTAGCTGTCGTCGAAATCCCTTTGCCGTTAAAAATGCAGTCGATAATGCCGCCTCATTCCAAATAACTTTTCCCAATCCGTGTTGAGCAGTGACTTCCTGAGCGTCGTTGATTGCTCAGTAGTCGAGGTAGAAAGGATGCCGGGTAACAAGGGTATGTTGACATAAAAAATCATGCTCATGACGTTGCGTGATATCCGAAGGACCAAATTTAAGCCTTGGTCTCCTCAGCCTTCTTTTCGCCTTCCTCACCGCCCTGGTTCTTGATGTACTCCTCGTAGACACCGAGAGCCTCGTCGACCTTGGCCTTGAGGGCAGACTCGTCCTCGATGCTGGATCATGTCAGTGGTAAATCATTGCGTGGGGCTGAAGTGGTACTCACAGGTTGACAAGCTCGGCGTTCTCCATCTCGAGGAGCATACCGGTGATCTTTCCGGCGAGCTCAGGCTGCATGGCCTGGATCTTGGGGAAGATAACCTCACCAAGGATCTGCTTCTGCTGGCCAGGATTGCCAGCAGCGGACGACAGCTGCTGCTGGATGAGGCTGGAGCTGTTGAGGTCCTGGGCAGGAGCGGCACCGCGGCCACCCTGGGGGAAGGGAGCGTTGTTGCGGGGACCGTTGGGGTTAGCACCGCGGCCGGCGCCGGCCTGGTTGCCACCCTGGCGGGCGTTGGGGGGGAAGCCGGGCATGCCGGGGCCGGGCATGCCAGCCATGGGAGCGGGGCCACGGCCGCCCTGAGGACCTCCGCGACCGCCGGCGTTCATGGTAGCCTGCTGAACCTGCTGGATGGCAGCAAGGAACTGAGGGTTGCCAGAGTTGGGGTAAGGAGCGCCAGGAGGGAACTGGCCAGGCATCCCGTAGACGGGGGGCATCTGTTGGGGAACGCCGCGTCCGCCCTGCTGAGGGTAGCCACCGGGGAACTGGCCAGGACGGCCACCCTGAACAGCGGGCATGGGCATGCCGGGCTGGGGGAAAGGCATGCCACGGCCACCCTGGGGGAAGACGGGCTGCTGGCCACCGGCGTAGAACACAGGAGGCTGCATGTACTGCTGGGGAAGGCCAGCGGCGGCGGCGGCCTGCTGCATGCGGAGCTGGTTGCGAGCCTGGATACTAGCCTCAAGCTGGCTCTTGCGAACATCCTTGCGCTGGGCGAGAGCGACGTAGAGGGGCTTGCCGTGGACCATGCGCTGGTTCATCTCGGCGACAGCCTTGGTGGCGTCGTCGGGGTTGCTGAAGCAGACGAAACCGAAGCCCTTGCTCTTACCATGGAGCTTCTTGTCCGACTTCTTCTCCTTCTTCTCAGAGCCCTCCTTCTCTTCGGTCTTCTCCTCGGCCTCAGGCTTGTTCTCCTTCTCCTTCTCCTCAGAAGAACCCTCCTCATCCTCCTTGGAGTCGGTAGGAGTGTCGCGCATGACCTTGGCAGAGGTGATGGGACCGAAGTCAGCGAAGAGAGTGCGGAGCTTCTCATCATCGACCTCGTCGTCAAGGTTCTTGATGTACAGGTTGACCCCCTGGTACTTGTTGGCCTTCTCCAGGCGAGCAGCTTCGTAAGACTTGCGCAATTCCTCCTCGCGCTCGTGCTTCTTCTGAGCTCGGCCAACGTACAGGTCCTGTCCGCGGAAGTCCTTGTTGTTGAGGTCCTCAACAGCCTTGGCGGCGGCCTCGTGAGTGGTGAAGTTGACGAAACCGAAACCACGGCTCTTGCCCTCCTGGTCGCGGGCCAGAGAGGAAGAGGTGACGTCACCGAACGCAGCAAAGAGATCGCGGAACTCATCGTCAGTGACCTCGTTGGCAATGTTCTTGACGTAGACGTTGGTGAAGTTAGCCTTCATCTCCTCGAACTTGCTCTGACGGTCCTTCTTGGGAATGTGGTGGCCGACGTAGACCTTCTTCTCGTTGAGGAGCATGCCGTTAACGTGCTTGATGGCCTGAGCAGCAGCCTCGTCGGTCTCGTAGTGAACGAATCCGTAACCCTTGGAGTTGCCGTTCTCGTCCTGGGCAACCTTGCAGCTCAAAATGTTGCCGAAGGCAGCAAAGGTGTCGTGAAGAGCCTTGTTGTCGATGGCGACGTCAAGGTTCTTGATGAAGACGTTGCCCTGGCCAGTCTTGCGAAGGGCGGGATCGCGCTGAGACCACATGATACGGCAGGGACGGCCCTTGATGAGGGTGTAGTTGAGCTCCTCGAGAGCCTTCTCACCGTCAATGGTGGTGTTGTAGTTCACATAGGCGTAGCCAAGAGAACGGCGGGTAACCGCATCACGGCAGACACGAATGGAAGCGACAGAGCCGATCTGGGAGAAGAGCTCGAAGAGCATGGCCTCGGTGACGGAGGGGTCGAGCTCGCCGACGTAGAGGGAGGCGGAGGCCTGGGGGTGAGGGGCGGTGGTAGGGGTAGGGCCAGCGGCGTCGGCATTGTCGCCCTGAGCCTCAACGTTGGTGTTGATGGCGGGGGCGTTCTTGTCAGCGCCGTTGAGCGAGGCGTTGCTCAAGTCGTTGGCGAGCTGGTCGACAGCGCCGTTGTTCGTAGCAGTAGCCATTGTATCGGTGTTGAGATTGACACGGGGGAAGGATACTGCGACAGCAAGGCTGGGTTAGACGACGATCTTGACGTTGAAATGGATAAAAATCGCAATGAAAAAGAGGAAGAGGGCCAAGGCGCAACCCCTCCAAATATGCGAATGTGGATATGATGAGGGGAAAGGATGAAGAAAAAAAAAAAAGCACCTACCAAGTCAAGAATCTGACGATGGGTCGTGTGACGGGACCTGGACGGTGCGGAGGATAAGGGTAGTCGAAGAGGCAGCGAAAAGCCTTTCTTGTCGAATGAGGTTATTCGGATGCGTGACGTTTGACCGACACACAAGAGACGCACTTGATGCAAGATTGACAGGCAGGTGCGCGAAGGGCGGTGGTGAAGCAAGAAAAGGACGAGGGGCGGAGAAGGGCCTCTTGGGATTTTCTTGCGAATGGAGGGGGAGGAGATATCCGTAGATGGAGGTGGGAAATTTTGAGGGGGTTTTTCAAGTTTTTTTTTGAAGTTTTTTTTCTTGATGAAGAAAGTGAGCGAGACAGAGAACAAGTACGAAAGACGTACTCCTTGTCAGACCCTCTTTGGATGTGAAGGGGGTTGTTGATAGGGTTTTGTGTAGTTGTTGGAAGAGAGAAGAAGAGGAGGAGCGGAGAGAAATAAATTTCTATGGTGTGGCTTTTGGAGATGGATTTTTTTTTTTTTACTGGATCTCCGGCCTGGCTGCAGTGGAGGGTGAGAGCCGTGGGTGGTGCCTTCCTGCTCTCTCCCACCTTTGCCCACCAGTGACAGGAAAGTGCAAAACCGAGTGTGCCTTCCAGTTTTTCTCTGCAGAGGGGTGTGGAGGGGCGACCAGGGCATGTGCTAGTGACGTGGGTACTTGGCCACAGCGCGCAGAAAGTCACTGTCACGCTCCAGGCGCAAGTAATTCAGCGAGCACTATCTTTATCTGCAGCGACTCACGGCCGCCTTGCGATAAGGATTAGCGGGCACAGGCGTCCCCGTGGCCGTGGTACAAACGGTTGAGAGCCCTCAGGTACCGGCCTATCCCATGTGGGGTTCCCATCATTTTATGAAAATTTTATGCGGTGGGTTTCGACCCTTGTGGACTGGCCCAAACGGCTGGTGGACCTGCCTGTGAAGAGAGGAGGGAAGAGCAGACAGGCGATGGTAAGGCCTCTGGGTAGAGGAGGAGGAAGGGGAGGAGTAGATGGTGGTTTTGTCTGCCATGGCGATGTTTCCATACAGCCTGCCTCGCTCGAAGTCTTCAGGTGCTGACGCAGGCATGACTGGCTCAGCCTACACAACAACGTCAGGGGGCATTGCTCATTTCCAAATCTACGCAGCTGTGTTGTTGCAATTTCGATACCAAACAAATGGGCGCCTGTCTGTGCCGAACCGCCCAAGGTGCAGATCCGGCATTTACATTTCCATCACTTCGTTAGCTGCCGCCTTAGACTCAGACGTTCAAGTCTGAGGGCTCGGTAGGACGGTAGGACGTGGACCTGCAAGACATGCGAGACGGTTAGGTTACTCCAGGCACGAGTAACATTCTTGGGGATGAACCCATGTGCGTCTTTTGATCCGTTCAATGTGCCATGCTGTCCGCCAACGACCGGCCTGTCCGCTTAGCCGAACGATGCTTGGTCCCTTGCTGGAAGATGGACGGCTCAGCGCCAAACAACAAGCCGCGACGAACTTGTTCAAAAGCAAGCATTGAGCATGAACCAGTCCTGGTGCCTGAAGTCTGATTTGTCGCGAGCATCTGCAAAGCATTTGACCCTCCCCTCACCTTCCTTGACCGGCCTCATGGTTCGCTGTGTTTCTACACCGACACTTACACGAGTAAAGGCGCAGTGCAGAGCTGCAATATCGAGTCAGCCAAGCCTTGACGGCGAAACGCCGTTGGCAAAGGTTGAGTTTTGTTTCGTTTGGGCTGGTCAAGAGCAACGGTCAGCTAGCATGCAACGCCCTGACCAGGCTTCTGGGATTCAACATTCTCTTCCGATTCTGGCGATATCATTTTCCTTTGCCCGAGGTCAATCAGTCGCTACCTTGCTTGTGTGTCTCCCCATCGTGTTTACTGCCCTTTCCCCAGGTGTCTTATCGGAGCCTCCTGTTTTCTTATCGATACCGGTGGTGGTACCTTCCCCGGTGCAGCAATGGGGCTACCTAACGTAGCACCTGTCCCGTGCGCCGGAACCTTCCACAAGCCCGGACCAGCTCCAGGTGCAGCGTCCAAAGTCACAGTCCAGCTTACCTCAGACCCCACTAGCCCTCTGAGGTACCTTAGGTACCGGGGCTTAGTCTGAAGCCTGCGAATTACGGCATTTCCCCTCCAGCGCCGTCACTGCCCGTTCAGGTCCCGCGTTATCGCCGATTGTCAAGGTCACTCACCATCGATTACATACACCCATCCGAACCTGAAGCTTCTGGAAGGCAACTGCGTCCGCGACATCCCTCGACATTGCCCTCAGCTTGCTTCCCCCCAACGCTCCATCGCTCATCTTTGCTGCGACATGAGATAATACTAACCACCATTATATTATTCGAACGACGCTCGTTCCACGAGGCAACATGTTCCCCACCTTCACAGGAAACTCCAGGCGTCCTCGGAACGTGAACCTCAGCGGGCAGAACCTCAACCCCTTCGCCGCCACATCATGGACGCCATCCGCAGGGTCAGGAGCTTCCAAAACGGTCTCTAATGCCCAGGCCGAACGAGCACAAAGACAACAGGATCGTGACAAGCTCAAGGCAGCAGGAAAGATACAAAAGACATGGAGGGGCCACAGGGCAAGGAGGCGGCTTCGAGACTCCAGGAGGGATTCATTTGACGCTCTCTATTCGACAACTTCAGACTTGGGTACACAGCAGAGACTTTCGATGGCTTTGCCACTGCTGTTGACAACCTTCCAGCCTACCCGAGCCGACGATTTGCAGCGTCTCTTTCGATTCTCACGAGAACTGAGTTCGACCAACCTCGAATGCCTCGCATCCGACCGACTACCTCCCTCAAGATTGGCACGATACGTCCGCATACTGGTAGAGGCTTTGGAAGGCCAGACAAAGAATGAGTTAGTGACCTCGCCAGCTTATGTTTTGTCCTTTCCAAGGCTTGGCTGACAATTTCAGGAGTATCCAACACGACGACGCCCAACTGCTCTTAAACCTCCTGACGCAAATCGTCGGTGCTACTCCCGAATCGATCTCTAAATCTCTTCGGCAATACTATACGGTTCTTGCAGACATAAGTAGCGCATCAGACCTTGATGAGTCTGGTTTGGGGGTGATCTCTCGGGCTGTATTAATGCCACTGGGAGCTAATTCCGGAAACGGTACGGTAGTCCAGCCGGCCTCTGACATGTGCCAGCTTGCTGACAGTCGGGCAGACATCAATCCCTCGGCCACCTACGAAGCTTTTTCGCTGTCTTTCCTCGCACGGAATGACTTGAGACTTGTCGAGCAGCATGCGGAGGTATTCTCTCGCAATATTGACCTTGGCCGCCTCGCGACAGCTATCACCGAGGTATACCTAGACGGACGCATTAATGGTGTTAGCCGTGACCAGCAATTGTGGCTCCTTGCACATTTCATTGGGCTTCACCAAGGGAGTGGTACCAAGTCGCAAGGACTGCAGCATTTGAATGCACTGCACCTGCAACTCTCAAGTCTGTCTGCAGATATCAGCCTGAGACTATCTGTGAAGCCCGCTGAGCCCAACTCGTCAACCATTGATTCAAACAGCGCTGATGACCAACTCATCCTGCCCCTACCCTTATACATTACTCAAAGACTCACGTCATTGGTGGACAGGAACGGCATATCAATTCTTCTGGCTGAACTCACCAAGTCAGTCAATCCTGACCCGTCTTCTCGAACACTGCTAATACACTGCAGCAACTTTGGATCTAGATCCACGTCCCAGGAGTTCGAGAGCGCAAGCCTACTATCCGGCTACATTCTCACACTTCTCCGATGCTTTCCCGAGAATGGCGATGAAATTCGCATGCGACTGTTCTTGGGTGACATTCCTTCAAACGTGGGCACCTTGCCAACCATCAAATTTCTCTGGCAAGCTATGAGCCAGACCAGCATTTACAGACAGGTGCTGCGGGACTCAACGTCTGTAGTCGGCTTGGTACGAAACTACCTCTCAAAATCCAAGTCTGCCGAGGTATCACGCGAGCAGGAATGGCGGCTGATGCTCCTGTTTCTCGAACTTTACACTTTCATTCTTCGTCTGAGTGACGATGAAGACTTCTTCAGCAGCATTTTCCCATCATTACTCCAGGGTAGCAAGCAGCCCTCTCGTCTGCGGTCATGCGGCCTGTCACGGCAAGAAGTGGAAGACCTCAGCATCGTTCTGAAGCACCTCGCCTTTGCCCTCCACTACAACGCACAAGATATTCAGCAGGGCATCCAAAACTCAGAGCCGGTTTCCATGAGCCAACTTGAGTCCTATTTTGGAAACAGTGCCTCAAAGACATTGAAGGATGCCAAAGCACAGAACCCGAAATCCACTTCGTCAGATACAAGGCTTGATCTGGGCAGCCTCCGCAGTATTGTCACTTCAGCGTTGCGACTTTTATATGAGCGAGACTCGAGGCGGCCGTTCTTACCACCGAATCATTGGCTGATGACATCGAAATTTGACATGGAGGGCTTTGTTAGCGCCGTGGTCGCCGAACAGGAACGCCAGAACGAAATGTCTGACTCCAGTGACGACGAAGATGGAGAGATTGACGAAGACGCCAACATCGGGGGCAGCTTCATACATACCGTAGCCGGTCAGCGCGTTTCGCGTCATGCTCAGATCGAAAAGCTACGATCTCAGCAGCGAAGGGCGCAAAGAGATCGCCTCCTAGCAGTCATTGGACCAAAGCTGGAAATCTTGCGTCACATGCCTTTTGTCATCCCCTTCGATACCCGTGTCCAAATTTTCCGTCAGTTCGTCTACCTTGACAAGCATAAGCGTCGAGATGGCATGGACGCTGAGCAGTGGAGGATGATGATGATGCACAACCCCTTAAGATCCCCTGGTAGAAGCCCAGCTGGTCGCCATCACGGCAAGATCAGGAGAGGTCAAGTGTTCCGCGATGCCTTTGAGCAATTCTATGAGCTGGGAGAGGGCCTCAAAGAACCCATTCAAATCCAGTTCGTAGACCAGTTCGACACAATTGAAGCAGGTATCGATGGAGGTGGAGTCACAAAAGAATTTCTCACCAGCGTTACAACAGAAGCGTTCAGCAAAATGGAAGGCATCTCATTGTTCACAGCCAACAGTCAAGGCCTGTTATACCCTAACCCAACCGCAATGGACGAGCTGAAAGAGGTTATGAGAAGAGCTGGATACCCAGAGTATTCTGCAGACTGGCAAGACCAGGTGCAGGACCTTTTGCGGCAGTTTGAGTTCCTCGGCCGAATCGTGGGCAAATGCATGTATGAGGGCATCCTCATTGACATTGCATTTGCCGGGTTCTTCCTGCTGAAGTGGACTTCTGGTCAGACCGGGGAAAACAGCTACCGCGGCAACGTCAACGATTTACGAGATCTCGACGAGGAGCTTTACCAGGGAATGCTGCACCTGAAGAACCTTACTAGCAACGTCGCAGACTTGGCGCTTGACTTTACCATCACCGACCAGGTTTCATTACCAGGGGAACCTGTGCGCACTGTTTCTAGAAATCTTATCCCCAACGGCGAGAACGTCCCCGTTACGAACGACAATCGCCTGCTGTACATATCGTACGTCGCGCGCCACCGCCTAGTTGCCCAGCCTGCGCAACAGACGGCTGCTTTCCTGCGTGGACTGCGCTCCATCATAGCCCCATCTTGGCTCTCCATGTTTAACCAGAACGAGATACAGCGTCTCGTCGGCGGCGACAGCTCTGAGATCGACATTGATGACTTGCGTCAGAACACCATCTACTCGGGCCTGTACGAAGTTGGAGACGATGGTCTGGAGCACCCAACGGTCCAACTCTTCTGGAAGGTCATGGCTGGGTTCTCGGATAAGGAGCGTCGGGATGTGCTCAAGTACGTCACCAGTACGCCGCGAGCGCCGCTGCTGGGCTTTTCACAACTGAGTCCTCGATTCAGCATTCGCGACGGTGGTGAGGATCAGGAGAGGTTACCGAGCACGAGTACGTGTGTCAATCTTCTCAAGTTGCCGCGATACAAGGACGAGGAGACGCTGAGGAAGAAGCTGCTCTACGCCGTTTCTTCCGGGGCCGGCTTTGACCTCAGCTAAGAGAAGTACAAGCTCGACCAGCGAATGCATGATGTTATGAAGCGAGGCTAGAGAAGATAGGAATGTAGAAGCACTATTAACAATGTTGCCTGACGATGTGCTATCGATGTTGCATGAGAGTAGCTACTTGGGCTCGGGCACTTCATCCCTTGCGGTGACTGTCGAGTCTGCTTCTTTGAAGTTATCTACATATCTGATCTACATAATTAGAGGTCCAAAGACGCTATGTGCAGGTAGCTTCGATGTTCAAACGGGACTGCGTCCTCTCTGGTAGTAACGTCCCATTTCGAATTGTACACAAAGAAGGCATTGTATTCGAAATTGCCTTTTTACTGGTAGCTCTTCTCGAGCAGGTGGGGTTTCCTCTCACGCAGGTCCAGAATCATCTGTCCAAAGAGACCGTTTGCCCACGCGAACCTACAGCACCAACGGTTAGCATTCTCCTCGTCACTAGCATAAACACCGCGCAGGCGAATTCTTACCATGACCGAGACCACTGCGACGCATCGTGGCTGTTGACGGACTCGTGAATCAAGCCCAGCTGGTTCGTCGAGCTGACCAGCTGCTTCAACCCGTTGGAGATCTCGTCGTCGTCGTCGGACGTCAGGAGCTGGGCGATCAGCGCCATGGGCCAGGCCATGCCGGGTCCGAGGTGCGGGCCGCCCGTGGCGTTGAGCACCGGCCCGCGCATCTGGTACGGATTCGACTGGGAGAGGATGAACTTGCGCGTGTTCTGGTAGACCTGGTCCTTGGAGGAAAGGTAGCCGTAGTGCGGCGCGGAGAGCAGGGAGGGGATGTTGGCGTCGTCCATAAGGTTGTGGCTACCGAAGCCGTCGATCTCGTACGAGTAGATCTCGCCGAAGGTGGGGTGCGTCGTCTTTGCGTGGGCCTCGATGCCCTCCTTGACGCGGGCGGAGGCGTCGCGCATGCGCTCGGCCATGCCCTTATCGATGCCGTCCATGATCTCGGCGCAGGAGTTGAGGTAGCGCGAGAACATCATGTTGGCGGGCACGAAGAGCTGGTAGATGCAGCTGTCATCGCTGGGGCGGAAGAAGCTGCGGACGAGGCCAGTACCGCCGTTCGTGGGCGCGCCGTTGCCCTTGTTCGAGAGCGTTTCCGAGGCGGAGGTCGTGCGGCGTTCGAAGATGGCCGGGGAGGGGTTCAGGGTCCCGTCCGCGGCGTAGGTTCCGGTCAGCAGGGCGTCGGTGGTGTTGAGGAGGACGGCCATGGCTTTGGGCCATTGGAACTTTGCAAAGAAGTCCTTGTCTGCCGTGGCGGTGTGGTAGTCGTGTGAGATCTGGAGGAAGGCGGCCAGGCTGTCGAGTTCGTATTTACACTCAAAGTACGAGTAGGCAGGGTACGCGGGGACGACATGGTCTGACCCGCCAGCTTCGTTCGTCGTTGGGGCGATTTGGGACTCTTCCGGGGGTTGGAAGGCGTTGCAGTGAGGTGCATTGAAGACGTAGCGAGCTTGTAGGTTGATGAGGCCGCGGTAGAGAGACGCCAGTGAGTTTGAGGACGAGTTGCGGGTTAACAGGGAGCGATAGCTTTGGAGCTGGTTGGCGGAATCGCGGAGCCACATGGCATTGATATCGCCGGTGATGACAAACGACAATTCCTCGTTCGCGTCGCCAGCGGCCGTCCCTTGCCAGGCGACTGTTGTATCGAGGGTGTTTGGGAACGTATTCTCAAAGAGACGGTACAGATCCGGATCCTTGATAAGAGACTTCATCTCGGTGATGGTCTTTTCAACCTCTGGGAAGCTTGACGTGCGACATTCTGGAGAAGGCCGCTGATAGGCGAGCTTGTGAACGCCGTCTGAGAAGGGCTCATGGGGGGTTGCGGCATAGTCGGTGTAGTGTGGACAGTCTTGCCTAAGACCTGCTGATGCCAGGCCGGCTAGGAAGACGAGTCTGGAGAAGGGAGCCATGGCGATGGGCAGCCTTGGAGAGACTCCGGCAAATCTGGACGAGTATTCGAACAAGGTGCGGTCACGGTCACGGCCGCCAAACTTCGCGATGCCTGGCCGTCGGCGGGCAGGGCATATTTATGAAGGCCGGAGAGGACGGAAGTCAGACTAGCTGCCGGTCATGCTTGTCCTGGTCGAGATGAACCGGTTCGCGTGACCTTGGAATGGTGTTGGGCGGGGACGATCAGTGTGCGGGGGAAGGAAACGTTGTATGGTATGTCGTCGTATTGCAGCGGATTATGATGTCGCTCTGCGTGTTAGTGTCCACCAAACTGTAAGCACCAAAGTGGGGGATGAGGAGGTGATGAGGAGACAACACGATCAGGCGGGAGAACCAACAACCGCAGGTCACTGAGAGAAGAAGTCGTGGGCTTCCGCGACGTTTTAGTAGCATGGAGAAGAGCTTATGCGGCAGGCTTAAGGTCCAAAGCTCAGGCCAGTTGATTCGTTTTGAATGTTTCCCGCGGGCTTCATCGCCTAGAGTAGAGACAGACTGCGTTCTCAGACGGGATGGGACACTGAGCCGCTTGACAGGTGTCTCCTCCGGACCAGGTACATTCCTACCAGCGTTGCCGGCGGGAGGGCAGAAGTTGGTTTGGCTTGAGTAATGAAAGTGGGATTCGCTGGAGGGGATTCGAGCAGGGTTCTCCGCCGTCATGCAGTTGGATCTCCCCATGCTAAGAGACGGACAACGGCAGCCACTCGGCTTGGCGCATTGGATTGGTGGTTCTCCCGATGAGGCATGCTGTCGTTGGGATGGAGGAGTGGAGGTGTTCCACTGCCGGGTTGAACATTTGGTATGACGGGAGTCTGTTGGAACCTTCAAAGGATTATTCCAGAAGCTGAGCTGTCTTCCGGGGTTTGACGCGGCGGTCTCCGGAGGGAACGCTGTGCATGAGTTGGTGCGTTCGCAGATGCTTTTTGTGTGTTCAATTCATGTTTATGAAGGTGGTCCGCTTGGACGTGTTGCTGGAAGACTACCCAGAGTCGGGACGAGCTCTGCCAGGGCATGGAGGGTCGAACCTACGAGTACGATTAGAAAAAGAGACTTTGCCTATCATTCGACGTTGCCGTTACAGAGAGAGTCTCGGACCGTGCTCGATGGTAAGGATGTGTGTGTGGGAAAATAAGGCGGTTGTCGTCGCAGTATCAACCTCTGAGGGGAGAGCTAGAGTGGGTTTGAGAAGAGACCACTGTGAAGGAGGACGAGGGGGAAGCAAATTGGAGAAGATGCAGGACCTGCCCTGGGTAGTGCTGCCTCGGGTAATTTACCGGAGGCATTCCATGTTAGGACCGATGGGCAAAACGGGACAAGTTGCACTAACATTTAACCTTAATTGTGGTCCCGCTGCTCCCAGGCGATGTCGGGTGCCCTGCGGCCTGCCATCGCCCAGCCCCGAGAGTAGGTGTGCTTCAGGTGGCTGTCAGACCTTCTGCAGCGAGCGTGTCTGGCGTTGCTTTTCAGCTTTCTTCGTACACCAAAGATGGACGGACAAGCCCGCGTCCTCCGCATCCCCAATCTGAATCAGCGCGTCTGGCGTGCATGCCCAGCTGACGGGATGGTTGCAGCAGCCAGATTTCTCCGTCAGCCAGATGAAGCTAACTAACCACTTAGCAACACGTTCTTACTGCTTTCCAATAATTAAGTGACCCAAAAATGGTGCGTGGCTCCATCGACGAGACGCGAGACAAGACCACCCCTTGCTACAGCTGCCCTTGCTCCCCCCCCCTCCCCTTCTCCTTCCTATCCCATCGTGCTGGAAACTCGGGCGTCCTTCGTTCCTGGACAGGGTCTGCCTGTCTTCAAATAGCAGCACATGTGTCCAGTTGCCCCCCGAATCATAGCTTCATCGATGTCTTGACTCTGGATGCTCGAACCTTACCGGCCGCAAAACATACCTGTTCATTCGTGCCGGAGCCAAGACTGGCGGACGCCGTCCACTACGAGACGCGAGACCTACCTAACCTTCGGCTGAAGTTGATCAATCCACGGCGATCGCCCGCCTCCTGGCCAAGAAAACACTCCATGATCCTAACCTTACTACGTCAACGTCAAGACTAAGAAAAAACAAAACCGTCTTTTAGCCAGCAAATCTTCCTTGGTCATTTACGTCCTCTTCTTATCCGCCGTCGACAACTCTTTCGCTGATTCCGCATCTGCGCAGTTCGCTGACCAGTTTCTGTTCTCTTGGCCAGACCTCGTGGTCTTGCTCTGGCACCTGCAGGGGCCAGCATCTGGATGAGGCAACAGTAAGCAGCTTACGCCAATCAAGGGAAGTGGCAGAAGTTCTTCCAACCGCATGGCGTCTTGACGGGCAGCATCTTCTACCGAACCCTCCGTGTCTCAATCTCGGCGACTCTTGCCGCTGTCGCTGAGACCCACCACTCAACATGGCTGTCCTCGTCCCTGCCATCGGTCTTTCGAGGCCTGTCCGTTTGCTGGTGTTCGCCTTCGTCGTCGTCTGCCTCGTGTTTTGGTGGCCTATCTCGGGCGCTGGCGGACTGGCTGGGCTTATCTTTTCCAAGTCAAATCTGCACACTCAACATCCCGTTCTGAGATACATAGATCCCTTGATCGGGACTGTGAACGGCGGTCATGTGTTTCCCGGCGCGACACTCCCATATGGTTGGTGATGTTGTAATCGATACATAAAGCTCACGGTCACTGAGAGGAAATACAGGCATGGCCAAAGCCGGCGCGGACACCGACTCTCGTGCTGAAAACGCCGCGGGTTGGGTTTCCGATAATTCGAAGATCACGGGTTTCTCCCACCTACATGATTCGGGTGAGTAGGCTTGTTGTGGTCGTCACGACTGTCAGCTAATTCTCTGAGCAGGAACTGGAGGCGTAAGACACCAAACCATGAATGATCTCACCCAAGACAGCCAGGCTGACACCATCCGTAGTCTCCGTCTCTCGGAAACTTTCCATTATTCGTCCATCCCGGGTGTCCAAACGACAACTACACGATGTGCAAGTTCACCACTGAGCAAAGAAGTCTCTACCGTGTCAACGACTCTGTCCGAGCCAGCCCCGGCTACTTTTCCGTCGACCTCTCCAACAGTGTCCGGGCCGAGATGACGGCCAGCGAGCACACGACCCTATTCCGGTTCTCTTTCTCACCAAATGAGACTGTAACGTATGAGGATGTGGCCAACAAGGACACCATCACCGCCGTGAGCAATCCGCTGATTATGATTGATCTCACCGACATCGCCCAGAGCAGGTCCAGTGGCGGCATTCAAGTCTATGAAGATGGTCGCATCATAGGAGACGGCACGTTCAGGCCTTCGTTTGGGCAAGGCACATACTCAGCATTTTTCTGCGCCGATTTCCGAGGTGCCACCATACGAAAGTCGGGTGTTTTTGAAGGCGAGAACGCCCACGAGGACCAGAAGCACCTCTCGGAGTTCACAAGGGGCTTTTACAACCCGACGGGTGCCGCCGGCGCGTGGCTACATTTTGAGCGCCCCAAGAAGAGGCAAATCCTCGCCCGCATCGGCCTGTCCTTCATCTCCGTGGAAAAGGCCTGCAAGAATGCGGAAGCCGAGATTCCAAAGTTTGACTTTGACGGAACCGTGAAAGCCGCCAGATCCATCTGGGCAGAGAAGCTCTCCACCATCGAGGTCGACCCCACAGGCGTCAGTAAAGACATGCAGATCACGTTCTGGTCTGGACTCTACAGAAGCATGCTCTCTCCTCAGAACTACACCGGCGAGAACCCGCTCTGGGAGTCGAAGGAACCTTACTTTGACTCCTTTTACTGCATATGGGACTCATTTCGTGCCCAGCACCCCCTGCTCACAATCATCGACCCGGTCGCGCAAACTGAGATGGTCAGAGCATTGGTGGATATTTACAGATTTGTTGGCAAGCTGCCCGATTGTAGAATGTCATTCTGCAAAGGATACAGTCAGGGCGGCTCTAATGCCGACATCGTCATTGCTGACGCCTATCTGAAGAACATCAGTGACGGTGTGGACTGGAAGACGGCGTACGAGGCAGTGGTCTCCGATGCCGAGAGTAAGTAGCCTAAGTAGCCTGAAAGATGCTGAAATGAGCTCCTCTGATGCTGTCATATAGTTGCACCGCAAAACTTTGGCGTTGAAGGCCGCGGAAACCTCGAGAGTTGGTTTGGATTAGGGTACATCGCTAAGGATCATATGGACAAGATCTCCAGCGGACCAAACAGCCGCTCGATATCGCGAACCGTTGAATACGCGTATGACGACTTTTGCATAGCAGAGATGGCAAAGGGGCTCGGCTTCGACGACGATTATGAGAAGTACATGCAACGCAGCGCCAACTGGCAGAACCTATGGAATCCCGATCAGGTGGACCTTATCCAGAACAAGGACGGCAAGGCAATCGACCGGACAAAATACAAGGGATTCCTGATGCCACGACTGATTAACGGCTCGTTTGAATACCAAAACACCCGCATCTGCTCACCGAACACTGAGCAGCACCTTTGCTACTTTGACACATGGCAGTCAACGTACGAGGGTTCCCCATGGCTGTATTCGTTCTTCGCGCCGCAGGACCACGACACGCTGATGGAGCTCATGGGCGGTCGGGGCGCGTTCGTCGACCGGCTGGAGTACTACCACGGCGGTAACATCGTCTACATGGGGAACGAACAGGGCTTCCTGACCGTTTTCCAGTTCCACTACGCCGGCCGGCCCGGGCTTAGCTCCCGCACCGCCCGGAGCTACATCCCGTCCCAGTTCAACGCCAGCATCAACGGGATCCCCGGCAACGACGACTGCGCCATGGGTGCCTTCAGCGGTCTAGCCATGATGGGATTCTTCCCTGTCGCGGGGCAAGACGTGTACCTGCTCATCCCGCCCTTCTTCCCCGAGGTCCGGATCAAATCGCGGGGTGCCAAGCCCGCCGTTATCCGAAAGGTGGCCGCGAACGCCAAAGAGCTGGCCGAGGGCATATACATCCAGAGCGCGACGCTGGACGGGGAGCCGTACACGAAGAACTGGATCACTCACGACTTCTTCTACCACGGCGGGGTCCTGGAGTTCACGGTGGGTTCGACAGAAAGCAACTGGGGCACCAAGCATTCAGACGAGCCACCAAGTTACCCGTCATCGCCAGAAAAGGTCGCTCCGACGCGCACTCAGAGCAAGAAGACGGGGGACAAGTAGACGTAGTAGTATTGCACGCACAAAGCAGAGTAAAGCCCTACGGCAATAGAAACAGCTCATTCGTAGTAATAGAAATCGGCCAAAAAAATCATGATGCCGAACCCAAGTCTCAATCTGCAAACGTCAATCTCGGCAAAACCGAGCACTACGCCGACGGCGTCTTTGTCCCTGTGACCGAGACGACATCGGAGGAACCCACTCTGGAATTTGAAATTTGAGCTCCCTGATTGGACGTTGGCGGCCCGGGACCCCAGAAAGCTAAGACCTTAGCCCTTCAAGCCCTCTCTTTGCGCTGCGCTGCAGACGGTTAATACTCCAAATAACTCGGCTTCTCCCGGTCCACGGTTCGTTGCTCTTGGTACGGAGGTACCTTTCAGCTGCCAAACGAGCTTGCAGGATTTACTCGCCGTCTACCTGGTCTTTGGCTCTCGCCTGGCTGCATCGCGGAAGTATCGTCCGAGTCCAGAATCCCCAGGACCGGTTTCTCTCGGCTATCACCAGCAACCGGAAACCAGGGCCCGAGCTTGGTTTTGGCCCTTGGAGGGTGGGTGGGATCGCAGTCGCAGTGTCATTCAATCTTGGTCCCCTCCCCCATTTACGCCTCTGCCCCAATTACGTATTAGAGGAACCTGAGAAGCTCTCTCCGCCTGCAGGGCCCCGGTCGAGTCCGTTTTTTAAGTGTCCCGCCGCGCTGCCCTCGACGAGCAAAACTGCACGTCCCGCCGCTTTTCAGTGTTCACAACTGCCTCTCAATTGACTAATTAGTGCCCTCACTCTGCCGAGGTACAGCTGCCTTTTGTAGTCCACCGAGAAACTCAATTGCGCCGACGGCTTGCGGTCCGTTGCCAGCTCGACCAACCCCAAGACGGTCTAACGACGAATCCGGCCTTGGAGACGACGACCCACGACGCCAACGACGACAGCGACGACGAGGCCTTCGGAGCTGCTGCTCGTGACTCTTCGCCTCCCGCCTCTGATAGCTGCCCCTCCCTTCCACTTAGGCAAATCTACGATTTCATCACTACCCCTCCATTCGGAGCTCGACATACCACACGAAAGTCAAGATGAGCAGCGCCTCGCCCCTCGCGAGAAGCCTGCAGCGCAGCACCCGCAACCTCTCGAGATGCCGCTACCGCCCTACACACCCCGCACAAGCGCAAGCAGCATACCTCTCCAGCACAACCTCCAGGAGGACGCCGACCAGCAGGTTACCCTCAACACGGGCTGCTTCTTCCTCCGTCACCGTCTTCCGCCCCCTGGGCGCACGCACATTCACGACGAGCAGGCCACGACGCAGCGATGAGGAGGAGGACTTCGACCCCGCGTCCATTGAGCGCGAATCAGACCAGGTCGACGTCTGTATCGTAGGCGGCGGTAATGCTTCACCCCGTACATCTACGAACTAACAAGGGCAACGTGGCTGACGAAACGCAACATCACAGGCCCCGCCGGACTCAGCGCCGCGATCCGCCTGAAGCAGCTCGCCAACGAGGCCGGCAACGAAGACTTCCGCGTCCTCCTGCTCGAAAAGGCCGGCGAGATGGGCGCCCACATCCTCTCGGGCGCCGTCATCCAGCCCACCGCCATCAACGAGCTCATACCCGACTGGCTCGCCGAAGACAACCCCGACCGATTCGAGTACGCCACCCCGGCCGGCGGCGACCGCATGCGCTTCCTCACAAAGACCGCCTCCATCCCCCTCCCCACACCGCCCCAGATGCACAACGACGGCAACTACATCGTCTCCCTCAACCAGTTCACAAAGTGGCTCGGCGACCGCGCAGAGGAGCTCGGCGTCGAGGTCTACCCGGGCTTCGCCGCCTCCGAGGTCCTCTACAACGAAGTCGACGGCAGCGTCAAGGGCGTCGCCACAAACGACCTCGGCATGGGCCGCGACGGCAAGCCCAAGGAGGCCTTCGAGCGCGGTATGGAGTTCCACGCGCGCTGCACCCTTTTCGCCGAGGGCTGCCACGGCAGTCTGAGTAAGCAGGTCATCAACAAGTTCGACCTCCGCCGCGACAGCCAGCACCAGACGTACGCCCTCGGCGTCAAGGAGGTCTGGGAGGTGCAGCCGGAGAAGTTCAACAAGGGCAGCATTACGCACTCCATGGGGTACCCGCTGTCCAAGGACCTCTACGGCGGCGGCTGGATGTACCACTTTGGCGACAACCTCGTCTCCATCGGACTGGTTGTCGCGCTCGACTACGAGAACCCCTGGGTCTCCCCGTACCAGGAGTTCCAGAAGATGAAGCATCACCCGATGTACAAGGAGGTCCTCGAGGGCGGCAAGTGCCTGACGTACGGCGCGCGTGCCCTGATCGAGGGCGGGTTCCAGAGCATACCAAAGTGCGCCTTCCCAGGTGGTGCGCTGATTGGCGACTCGGCTGGCTTCGTCAACCTGCCCAAGATCAAGGGTACGCACAACGCGATGAAGTCGGGTATGCTGGCCGCCGAGGCGGCCTTTGACGCCCTCTCCAGCAGTGAGGCCGGGGAGGAGGAAGGCACCGTCTTCCTTTACGACTACGAGGACAAGTTGCGCAACTCGTCCATCTGGAAGGAGCTCAAGGAGGTGCGCAACTTCCGCCCCTCGTTCCACACGCCGCTGGGCCTCTACGGCGGCATCATGTACTCGGGCCTCGAGGCGTACGTGCTCAAGGGACGGGTGCCCTGGACGCTGAAGCACAAGACGCCGGACCACGCGGCGACGAAGCCTGCGGACCGGTTCCAGAAGATCGAGTACGGGAAGCCCGACGGCAAGATCAGCTTCGATATCCTCACCAGCGTTAGCCGCACCGGCACAAACCACGAGGAGGACCAGCCCGTGCACCTGCAGGTGAAGGACTGGGAGAAGCACACGCGGGAGACGTGGCCCCAGTTCAAGGGCGTCGAGAACCGCTTCTGCCCGGCGGGTGTGTACGAGTATGTCGAGGACGATACCAAGGAGCTTGGAGTGCGATTCCAGATCAACGCGCAAAAGTGAGTTTTTTCCTTCCCCTTCCCCGCTGTGGCGATAGGTCCCTGTCCGCCTGAAGAATGATTCAGGGAGCCTCTGATGGATGGTTGACTGACTCTGTCTCGATTCGTAGCTGCATCCACTGCAAGACGTGCGACATCAAGGCGCCCAACCAGGACATCAACTGGCAGGTTCCCCAGGGAGGAGAGGGTCCCAAGTACTACATGTCATAGAAAGAGGAGGAATTCGAGACGACGACGAGGCGGAGAAAATAGAAACCTACGACTGGCATCTCTTCTTGTGTTGCCTAAATGGGGTGAGTGGCTGTACTTGTTCAGACAAAGTAGAGAAGACAAAAAGAAACGGAAGGGAAAATGCTTCGAACATTCGGAAGCCCGATGACCATATCCATGTATTTCGGAGTAGAGCACGTGTTGGGAAGGCGGCGCGGAAAGCAAAAAATAGCTTTTTTCTCTCTCTTTCATTGGGCGCTCATATGTTGGCTTGCTGTTTGCTTTGGTCTACCTTTGTAATTGGATTGTGTACGGATAATGTAGCGGTACCCTTACATCGAACGGTAGTTAATGACACCATGGTTTTTTTCTTCGGTTCTTTCTTCGAGTCGGGCATATCAGACGAGGAACTTTGCCGGTGCATGACGAAGGCTTCTGGAAGAGCGCGAAAGTCAAGGGAGACCCGACCAAGAAATGGCACCACACGACGCCGTCCGGCTTGTGATGATGGACATGCTGTGAATCCAAGCGAGTAAGAAGGTCCCCTTGTCGGCTTATGGCTTGAACGGCCCCCGATCGGAGAAGACCCCGGCTTGGGGGAATGGGGACGAAATCGGAGACATGAGGGGTGGTTTGCGAGACGCAAGTAGTTTTTGGACTTCATGCGGTGGGCAAGGCTGGAATGGACAGATGGCTAGATTTGCGGGTTGTGGGAGAGTCAGAGTAGCTGACACGGAATGACGCGCTCGCGATAAGCCTCATTGCGTGCCAGCGTGTGGACACATTACCAGCTAACGGTGGGAATAGAGAGCGACTCGTGAGACGTCGTTGGGCACGTCGGTTCTCCATCAACCGCTGCCCAAAGCCCAAGGACAGCGGCAGTCAAAGTTCGACAATTTAAACAGGCGTTTTGATGCGACACTGGAGGCAATGTCGTGAGAGTTGTTCAACGAGGCTGTCGGATGGTGGTGTTTGAAGTTGCATGAGTCGTAGTAGTGCAGATGGAGCTTCGCCAGGCCCCGCGAGGCCGAGATGCTCCAGATGCTGGAACTCTCGTTGCGCGGCGCGTCCCAGAGGTGAAAAAACTTATGGCTTGGCCTTGCCTTGCTGCTGTGTCTCTAGGAGAAGCTCGCATATGCATGAGTCGCGCAGGGCGAAGCCGACGACCTGGAAATGTACCTCGACTTCGGAGCGGATCCAGAGGTACTTTGGACGCACAGACCAGAGGCCCCCAGTCTCCGTCAAGCCCTGGTACACGATACCTGGCAGTAAGATTACGGTGAAATTTGCATCTGCAAGACTGCTGCAAGTGCCCATCTCTGCCACGACGATGAAGCAGCGCCAGAGCGTCACGAAATTGGAAGCGGTTGTGCAAAAGAAACAGACGTCGATACGATGTCGACAAGTGCCCAAGGCCTCGTCGTCCACATCGGACTTACCGCGCATTTAGGGAAGTCTGAGTGTTGATGGGTGTCGACAGAGTTTTCTCGGGCGAGAGTTCGGGTTCCAGAAATGGGCCGTGATGGGCCGCGGCGTGGCGAGGCTCGCGTACACAGTACGGGGCAGTCTTACGACGGGGGGATGGAGCCCTTGGTTGGCACTGCTGTGAGTGGGAGGCGGGCGACAAACACGCCCAACCCAGCCTTTGCAATGCTTTTTTCACATACCCCTGCCATGGCTGGTGGTGGCCGATTGGAGCCGGTCTGGAGTCAATGACTCACACGTCGGAAGCCGTCTGTTTGCTGCCGTGGCCCATAGAATTCCTAGCAGAGGGACCGCGGGTGGCCGAAAGCAGCGCAAGCGCCAAGGTGCCGTTTTCGCGCATTCCTGACCGCGCTTCGCTTCAATGTTCGTTTGTCATCGTGGCCGTGGCGGTGGTCTATGACTGTTTGCTGTTTCGCGTCGTCGTGTTGTCGCGTCCGGGCTTGGTCTGGTGACTGTCTCTTCTGACAGGTTTGACGGCGAGGCCGTTCGCCAGAGGATGGGTGATGGCGATGCTGCTGCTTTCTCGTGTGCTGCCGCTGCTCAGCACTGACGGAACATGTCGGTGCTGATCGTCAGTGAGGCATCAAAGTAGGGGGCAGGCTCAGCGTTTCAGAGCGCTAGCGTGTGGTTGGAGAGTGAAGGAGGAGGGTTGAAAAAGGGAAAAAGCCCCTTTGGTTGCTGGGAGGATGCAAAAATCATAAAAAAAGGGGGGATGGGGGGGAGAGAGAGATGGTGAAGGGGGGGGGCCCAGTCAATGACAGTCCAGACCTGCGACCGAGTGGTTGGAGTGGTGGGTGTGGTGCAGCTGCCAAAAGGGACTGACTGACGCGGACAGTGGGATTTGGCCGTGGGAGCGCTCCAGCTGGAGCTGTTGGAGCAGTACGCAGGAAGCAATTTGGCAGTGGGTGGCAGGCATCGCGGTAGGCCGCAGAAGGAAGAAGAACCGAGCGGAATGGGGTCGGCAGGTCGTGGGTAGGTAGCGTTAGCGGTAAGGTAGCGGCATCCAGTCGGATAGCGTGGTAGGTAGCGCTGCTGTGGGTGTTGCATTTGGCTGGTGTCCATCCAGGCAGTAGTGGCCCACGGGCTGTCGTCGGCTGCATTGGCAAGCCAGGAAGAGGGCGTCTGGTTGGTTTGGGTTGGGCTGAGAGCTGTCGCGGTGCGGGTGCGGGTGGGTGCGAGCGAGTGAGCGAGAGCATTCGTACTTGGTGCGCGGGCGCTATTGCCATGCCGTCTGGTTTTGATTTGTTTGTTGCCTCTGGGCTATGCCAGGCCGTCGTCATTCTCGGGCGGTTTGCGTTGGTGTCGCGACGGTGTCGGAAATGATGCTGACCAGACGCGTCGTTTCGTTTGCTGGGCCATTGTCGTGGCGAGCGAGTGTCGGCAGTGATTGTGATACGAGATGTTGCATCGTCGCTGGCTGGAAAAAGAGGCAAAGCTTCCGTCAAGATCCAGTCGGTCTGGTCCGGAGTGTAGGCGAGGAAGAAAAAAAGCGTGTTGCCATTTTTTCTCAGCGGGAATCAAGGAGTGTGTGTGGACGGCCACGGCCAACCCTGACGATATGGCGAGCGAGAGGGATGACCGATGGGCCTCCCAGGGATGGGCCAGTCAAACCGATCCGAGTTGAGTCGCGAAAAAAAGTGGAAGAAAAAAAAAAATAGAGAAGAAGCAAGAAAATGCTGCGAGCGCAAAGCAGGCTCCAGGGCAGAAAAAAGGCTAGGTCTGGGACTGGACAGCGACTGTGGATGATGACATGGCCCCATATCAGGGAGGGCTTCTCACTGGAACACGACACCGTGGCCCTGAGCTGGCTGGGCTGGCAGGCCTGGCAGAGGGCAGAGGGCGGCGAGCAGCACCCGACAGCGGCATCACAATTAGGGCAGAGCATCGTCACCACCTCGCCAGCCAGCTGTCAGAGGTAAGCACTGGCCAGAATGCATTGTCGCAAAAAGAAAGAAAAGACCCGTGAAAGTACTGCGACCTTGGACGCGGTGCCGCGGTACTTCAGGGGCTGGGTGGTCACAACAGGGGGGACATGGGGGTGGGAAAGAGATAAAATGTGAGGAATCCGCGGTTTTGATTGGGTGCATCGCCTTAGCGCGGCCGCTAAGCACAGGCAATGTCAAGCAGGACCAACCGCCACGGCGCACTGGCTGCCTGGGGCCCCTTGGCTGTGTGGCAGGGGGGTGTCGTTGGGGCGACTGCTCAGGCGGGCGATGGCCAAAATTATAAAGAGGCAGGCCTCCCTCCAACCCGCTTGTTTCGAAATTCTTGCGCGGAAGCTCCGACCGACGGCCTTACGTAGTCACACCCACTCACGTTCGGCCTTTCTAATTTTCCTTCTCCACCCCCACTCAAACCACCCCCAAACTCAAAATCCAACCAACAGACACCGCACACGATCCTGCATCGTCGTCATCGTCATCACAGCCTCATCGCACGTTCACCACCGTCATCACCGACGACGACGTCGATCGACACAGACACACAGACATCACCACCTCGACCCCCAACGAGGCTGATCTCTATACTCTCTCTACCTCACTACCAAACACTCCAAGACTAACGACGGAGCTGTCAACGTCAGCCAGGGCCCAGGTGGTATCGCTCTCTTAGCTGAAAGTGTACCCGCATATCCTACCCTGCACGAAAAAAAGAAAAGATCTGGAATACGTTCTTTTTCGAGGCATCCCTTCGTTACGTTACTCGCGCGATCCCTTCCGACGACAGCCAGGTCGAGAACGAGTCGCTGCGCCCTGTAGACACAATCCGTGTGCATCGCATCGTCGACGAATAGAGACACAAGTGCTTTGAACCGTGACGAGGTATCCCGAGACGTCGAGTTGATTGGTGGTATCTGGGTCTTTCGCGACAAATCCAAAGCGACGCCTACGAAACCAACGACCTTCTCGTCGACCCACCTCAACCTTGAGATCCCATATCGCGCCATCTGCCTGACCGCCAAGTCGTCGAGACAAGCGCTACCTAACTGCCTATCTATCTGTCTTGAGCAGTCGCTGTAGGGGAGACATTCACTTGTTTTTCTCCCACTTCTGGTATGGTGTTCCATCTCTTTCAGTCGTCGTTTTCCCCATCGCACCTGCCTGCACGACTGCCTTCCTCTATTTGGCTCGCACCTTCCCGACTCTGGAGGTCATCGAGGTGCAGAAGTCTCGCGCACAGACCATCTTCCATACACCTATAAAAATTCCAGCCACCTACGCGATCTACCCAAAACATCACCATTCATATCGCTGTCGCATTTCATTCTCCATTGTTACTTTTCTTGGCCGCGGCAAATAATTACAGCATTCAACTGTAATGGCGCGTGCTTGCTACAATGGTTAGATCAACGTACTGACTTTCGCAGATCTGCTCTTTGCCCCATCTTCGGCCTATCCCTCAAGCAACCGCAATCATGGAGGCGATTCAAACCCATCCCACAAGTGCTGCGCAAGCCAAGGCGTTTACTGCGCCTGGCTCGCTGTCCTTCCCCGGCGGCGCTCACGAGCTTCCTCCCCCGGCGAACGGCGCTCAGGCTCTCGTCACCGGTCAGGTCCCCGCCGTCAACGGTCAACAAGGCGCAAACGGTACCGGGGTGACTCCCGCGACCCCCGCTGCGACTCCTGCTGCCACCCAGGGTGGAAGTGGTTTGACTCCCACGCTGCAGTATGTATATCATGAGTGATTTTTTTCTGCTCCATGACGCTTATGTCGCTGCTTAAAGGAACATCGTTGCCACGGTCAACCTCGATTGCCGCTTGGACCTGAAGACGATTGCCCTGCACGCGAGAAACGCCGAGTACAACCCCAAGGTACGTTGCGCCTGACTACCAGTTGTTTCCCGATGCTGACTTCCGACATAGCGTTTCGCCGCCGTCATCATGCGTATCCGCGAGCCGAAGACCACAGCCCTCATCTTCGCCTCTGGTAAGATGGTTGTAACTGGTGCCAAGTCTGAGGACGACTCGAAGCTTGCCTCCCGCAAGTACGCTCGTATCATCCAGAAGCTTGGCTTCAACGCCAAGTTCACCGACTTCAAGATCCAGAATATTGTTGGATCTTGCGACATCAAGTTCCCCATCCGTCTCGAAGGTCTTGCCTCCCGCCATCACAACTTCAGTTCTTACGAACCCGAGTTGTTCCCTGGTCTCATCTACCGCATGATTAAGCCGAAGATTGTGCTCCTCATCTTCGTCTCTGGCAAGATCGTCCTCACTGGTGCCAAGGTCCGTGAGGAGATCTACCAGGCGTTCGAAATGATTTATCCTGTGCTTCAGGGTCAGTATTCCTGCTTCCCTCGTCTCTTACAATTGCTAACTCGTCCCAGATTTCCGCAAAGTCTAGAAACCGAAGCAAAGGATGAACCATCAACGCTGTTGATGTATTATCGCCCAAAAATATTGCCGACTTGTACGATTAGACACCACCCTTTCTTCACGATACCACGACTGCTTTTTCACGCACACCATAAAAAAAAGCGAGCGTCCGTCAGCTGGCATCTTGGCCATGCCCAAGACGCCTCGATGCTCGTTTCTGTTATCCCTTGATTTTCCGCTGCATTGCATTGGCGTTGGCACAGGAGGGATCCTGGACTGGAGGCATTCAGTCTGGGTGGTTTGATTCAGACGAAAAGAATAAGATTTTTCTCATCCCGCGACACTACATAGATTGCTCGTGGCATGGTCGACGGCAACGCGCAGGTCGACTTCGCCGTTCTTTAATGGAAGCAACTTAGATGCATGAGGGTCCGAGACGGTGGGAACGGGGAAGGATGCGTTCGTCGCCTCTTGGACAGCTGGTCGGGAGGGGCTTTGGCGGGTGATGATCTGCGAAAACAGGTTTGCGACATCACCTGGTCAGGGTGGCCAGGTTGATTACTCCATTCTTACTCTGGCTCAAGTTAAGGGTTTGATGCGAGCTTAGCATGCATTAGTATGACTGCAATGCCAAACCTGATTTCATGAACACAATCCCGTCGCTGTGATTTGGGAAAATTTTGCCAGCGTGCCTCGGCCCCACATTCGGTCGAAAAACAAGAAACTTTTGAGTATGTACAATACCTGAGTCTACGTGTCTACGGTTCTACGTCGACATTCATTATTACTGATGACCACGGCCATGTAACACAGAATGCTACAGCTTGGGCTGTTCGCCCTTGAGCAAAATGCCAGGCACGCCTCCACGGCTGCCGTCGTCGCATGAAATGTTGTCATACAGATTCGTCACGTCTTCGGGCTTGTTGATCGCCCTCCACTTCCACTTCTCAGCGAACACCTTGTCGCCTCTGCCCTCCAGCACATTCACAATCTCCCTGCCCAACACAGGCAGGAACTTGAACCCGTGACCGCTGCCGCCCGTGGCGACAAACAGGTTCTTCGCCTCGGGATGGTGGCAGATCAAGAAGTCGCCCGTCTGGGTATCGGTGTACCAACACAGCCGCGTCTTCACGAACGGGCGGTCGTGGATCGCGGGGATCGGGACGATGGTGCGGACGGCGGTGCGCAGCGCATCCTCTCCCTCTTTCGGGACCTGGAGGTTGGGGTCGGTGATGTGTGTCGCGGGCAGGGAGACGGTGCTCTTCTTCGCGGATGACGTGGGAGACGGGTGAGGGATCGGTGTCGGATTGAGGTAGCCGTACGCGTGGCGGGCGACCTTGACCTGCAGTCCTGACGGAGGGATCATGAAGAGTCCTGTGCTGAAGTTGAGAGTCACAGGCATCTTGGAGAGGATCTCGAGCTCGGAGGGGGTGATGTTAATGTATCCGAGCACTTGGCCGGTCGCGATGGCCTGGCCTGAGAGATCAACAAGCTGGCCCGTCCATGCACCGGCGGCGACAATGACGAGGTCGGCGGAAAGGACACGGCCATCGGTAAGCGTTGCGCCGGTGACAGTGGAGGCGGAAGAGTAGTTTAAGCGGGCAGCGGTGCCAGAGACGAAGTTTACGCGGCGAAGGACCTCGACGCGGCGGGCGAGGTACTTCATGGACTCGCCAGCGTCAGCCCAACCAGCCAAAGGGTTGATGTAGCCCCATGTTCCAGGGGCGATCGGGGTGCCAAGATGGTCGCGGATTGCCTCCGGGGTGGGAAGCTCCTTGATGATCTTATCGCCATCGGGCCCTGCGAGGGAGACGACGTTGTTGTAGCTTTCGCGAACGTATTCGAGACTGGTCTTTTTTGGTGGTGATGATGTAGTTGAGGCTGCGGGGGAAGGGGACTTGGGGTCGGCGACGAGACACAAGCCGGATTGCCGATACCGGCCTTCACCTCCAAGGTCTGAAGGGTTTGTGGTCTTGCGCCATTCCGTCTGCGCTTCGGCGGCGAGGCGAGCGTAGGCTGGATCGGCGTAGTCTGAGCGAATGATGCGAGAAGAGTCAACGCTGGCGGCGTCTTCACTTGGACCGGGGACGGGGGAGCGGTCGAGAACGGTGATCTTGGTGGAGGCGTAGCGGGGGCGGAGGGCAAGTTCGTGGGCTGTCGTCAGGCCGAAGACGCCGGAACCGATGATGAGAATCGAAGAGGGGGGTTCGGCGGGGTCTGCCATTGTCGCGTGTCTGTGTGTTCGTGCGACGCGAGGTACCTCAGTACAGGATGCGATTGTGCGACTCAGGACGGTACCGCAAGGTGGGAGGTAGATCACGGTTCGCGATTGGAAGATTCTGCGAAAATGTCAAACTGGCCACACCAGACAAATTGGAAAAGGGAGAGATTTGCTGCGTAACTTTAAAAGGGCACGGTGGGAGAGGAGGAGAGACGGGGAAAGGGGAGGCGGTGGTTGGGGGAGGAGCACGTTGAAGGGGATCACCCCGGACCGGCGCAATATCGGAGTCGAAATTTGCGGTGTCGTGGTTTATCGGCTTGCCTTACTCGTTATCGCGGGGAACACCGTTCTTCTATCGTAAGTTTTTGCAGCACGACTGCGGGCGGGCCGGGTTGGAACTTGGCGTCCCCTGGCTTTCGGGCGTGGGGCCGGGACTGAACTTTTTGGAGATCCCAATGCCGGTAGTGGGGGCCGTAGAATGTGTTGGCTTTCCATTTGGTTCAGGGCCCGGCCGCTTGGCCTATTCGCACTTGGAGGTTGTACGGATGTAGGGTTCCATGTGCAGGACGGGGCGGTGGGTAAGGTGTATCGTGTCGCTCTGTGGTAAACTGTGCGCGTGGGATTCCGCGCCTTTGAAGCTTGGCAGCAGCATCTTGGTGTCGGGTGCTGGTCGATGTGAATGTTCGGAATCGGAAGCTGGATCCGGCGGTGCTCGGCTCGGGTTACTCAAATCCAACGGCATGGTGTTCTTGTTGGTTCCTCAAATCCCACCCCTGCGGTGTCCATGTGCAAGGTGTTTGCGGTGAGGAGGCATTGAATGCTAAATGGCCAATTGATACTTATTATTCTCCTTCTAACACCGCGTGCCTTCCTTCCCTTTGCGTCGCAACTTCCTCACCTCGCGCCTGCCTGGAGCCAAACCGACCCTACAACAGGCACTTGTGCTTCACTTCAACTCAACAAGGCCCAATGGTCTAGTGGTAGGATTCGCCCTTCGGGTAGTAATACTCTCAAGCATAGCTTGATTGGGCGAGGTCCCGGGTTCAAACCCCGGTTGGGCCCCTTTTTGCACATCTGGTGGTGATTCCTGGTGTTTTTGATACTGGCCGAAAGACTCATTCTAACGCTTCGGCGATAACTGCCCACGTCACGTCGCGTTGTTTTGAGTGAGGTCTAGGCCTGGATTATGTCAGCTGCGCCGGCAGTTGGAGTGTGCCTCGCTGCCTTTGCGAACAACGGCCATTCGTCAATCACCCCCGGTGCCCGCGGGAATTGTGATGAGGCTGACTTGATCACCGCCGGCCGTTGGGCCGTCTAAACAAGGAAACGCTGATGCAACCTGGGACAAATTAAAACGCAGCACTCCGTCCAGATGCCTTCCCCCAGCCGTACGAATTGATGAAGCTGTTCGCACTAAGCACCGTGCGGGGTCATCGTCACATCCCCGCTTTCAGCTGTCGGTGCCCACGCCCACGCCGTCTTCCCTGTCTCAAACCACCGACGCTCACTCACCAAAACTTCCTTCACAAACAACTCGTCACCACCACATATCCAACATAAAAAAATGGTGAGAAACTTATGCTCCGGCCGCCCGAGATACTCCGATTTATGAAGCTAAGCACGATGTCCAGGCTGCTGCTGGGTTGACTGAAGAGCAAAGGGCGCAATACAAGGAGGTCTTTGACCTGTTTGTGAGTTTCTCCCTCCCGCTTCCCCTTTCCATCAGGCTGGCGCCATGCCGAGCCTGATTTTTTTGGGCTGGCCTACGTCACCCTTCGACGACACCGGAGTTCCTCATTTTTGCTAACTCGACCACAGGACAAGGATGGGACCGGTCAGTAACAACACCCTTTTTCGAGCCGCGAACTTGCTGCGCCCCCTTTTTCTGGACGACAGTCGGGAATTATTTTTTAAACTCGATCGAACCCCTTTTTTTTTTTTTTCTTCTTAAATCCGCTCGGGAACGGCGTGGCTTAGACCGTTCCATCTCATCTCGGATTTGCTGCAGTTCCCTTTTTGCTTTCTCATCCCAACCCCAAACTGACATTGTTTTTGCAGGTGACATCACCGCCCAGGAGTTGGGAGAGGTCATGAGGTCCCTGGGTCTGAACCCCAGCGACACGGAGTTGACGGACATGGTGAACGAGGTCGACGCAGACAACAACGGCACGATTGACTTCAATGGTACGTCGTTGCGGTTGCATGGATATGAAGCATCTCGCAACGGGCAGCTAACTCGACTCACTAGAATTCCTCAACTTGATGGCGGTAAAGGTGCAGGTCGGCGACGCTGAGGAGGAGCTCAAGAACGCGTTCAAGGTGTTCGACCGCGACGGCAGCGGCACCATCTCGGCCGAGGAGCTGCGACATGTCCTTAAATCGCTGGGCGAGAACATGACCAACGCCGAGATTGACGAGATGATCCAGATGGCCGACAAGAACGGCGATGGAACGATTGACTGTAAGGAGCACCCACCGCATCGACATTGCCTGCCCCCTTTGTTGTATTTGGGCCTTTTGGCACGCACGATACCTCGTTATTTGGCAAGCAAGCTGACCTTCAAACAACAGATGATGAGTTTGCGTCTATTATGATGAAGGACTAAAAACGAAAAGAACGGGAAAGAGTCCTAGGCGGACCAGCTCTTGTTGATGATATCTTGAGTTTCATTTCCTTGATGAAGGGTGTCTTTTACAGGTCACCTCATACGGTATACAGGCAGGTAGAATGAATCTGCTTCACGTTGGACCCTCAGATGGTCTATCTCTAAGCGATGGTTTCCTGGCGTTTCCAGCCCCCGGTTTCTTTGCCTCAGTGTGAAAGTCGAAGGCTCCTGCTGCATCGTGTTGAAGCCCGGCTCTGCGCTTACTCGGACATCGGGGCAGCCGTGTCTGCCTCGCCACGTCCCAAAATCGCTGTTGTTCCAGCGGAATAGGTGGATCAATAGGTCATGTGGCGTATTAATGGGGTTAACGAACACCTGCCAAAGAAACGTCAGTCCCCAGAGGTCTCCCACCGCCCTAGCAACCTCATTCTCCTCGCGCACAAGACACCGGAGCAACAGCACCTCCTGTCACGTTGAATGTCGACGACATGCTCAAGCTAAACAATCCATGCGTAGAGCATTGGTGGCATCCACTCGATTAATCACTGATGACCAGGCCGGGACAAGTTGTCCCGGCAGCTCAGAATATGTTTCGGTAGAGCGGTCAGCGGGATAGATAGCTTTGAACGATTCTCTCTTTCATCAGGATCGCTCAATGTGACTATTCAGCGACCCCAAGGAAAACCACTACAGTCTTACATGACGAAACAACTATGCCATGAGGAGATGTCCCATCATGGAGACGGGTGTAGGTAATGTGGGATTCGGGGGAAGTGAGGTTTTCAGGAGGGAGAGGCGTCTATGGTCTAGCCTTTTCTCGTGTCACATGGTTTCGTCTTCTCTTTTCCGGTCGACATTAAATATGGGCTGTGTGGTTGGTTCGCTTGCTTGTCTGACATTCTCGAGCTGAGTTGGGCCGGTCCATCGACAAGCGCGACAAGCGCATCTGTGTGGCGCGGTGCGTAGGGCGTCTTCACTGCATTTTACGCTTACCCGGGGAGGGTGAGCTGACCATCCGTGTTCATTCAGGTTTGGTCGCCTAGAAGGAGATCGCAGTGTGAAAACGGATTTGATACTTCTGCGATCTACGATCATCGCGGTTCGTTACTCGTCGGAGGGGGCACTACCACTTTACCCTATCGATGTATTTGACAGACAAGGAAAGGGCTTTTTGTGCTCTCGGGACCAGGGGCGCGTAGACTTGAAATGGATCCGTCTCTGGTTTGTGTCCTGCTACATATGAGGGAGACGTCTGAAGCAAAGTAATCACTGCTTTGACCAGAAGCCGTGTGAAGATTGATCCTGTTTGACTTCCGTTGGGCGACTAGGACACCATCAGCATGATCATGCCATGTGGTCACCGCCACAGGCACGCCGTCACGTTAAGCCCTCACCCCCGTTTCGGTTGAACACCAGAGTTATCGTCAATAGGCAGGAAGACATGTTTACGGGGTGCCATTAGGAGTTGTCTACGGTTTGGTTGCTTAAACTCAGAACGAGCCACGATCCGTCAGACTTCCTTTGATATTGAGATTTCTTCGCGTTCATCATCGGGCTCCACTCACATCTGTTCAGTACAGTAATTGTCCGAGGGGAAATGGACAGGGACAGAGTTGACAGCGAACGAATGGTCGCAACGAAAATCAAGTTTGACCATGAGAACGTAGGCATGTATGTACATGGCCAGGGATGAAAGAGCAGGCCCAGATGCTCAGAAGCGGACAAGGGAGGAAGCGATTCTCTGAGCACGAGGAAAACTGCTGTTACTCTTAAGTGGCGTCTCAATCGAATATCAGATACTCAGCACTTGTGTATAGCTCTTGGTGATATAGATAGAATAAACTGACGGCAGACCTATTTGAGTAGTTCACTTAAATCAACCACTGAAGTCGAAGAAACAACGGTTCAACAGTAATACTCCATTGCGAAGAGCAGGGGAAAAACAGAGATTGTGGGTAACACATGCAAAAAATCAAAAATTTGATTTCGCCCGGACTTGAACCGGAGACCTTCAGTGTGTTAGACTGACGTGATAACCAACTACACCACGAAACCATTGATTAGTGCTAGTCTTTGTGGTATGCATCAATATGAAGCGGGAGCATTTTGTTGCAATTCGCGCCAGTACATCTCATTCGTCCCTCGAGCTCCTCCAGCACACGAGCAAGCTGCTTGATCAAGAACTTGCCGGCATCAAAGCCCACCGGGCACATCTTCCTCTTCCCCCCAGCCGGTACAAGCAGCCGTTCCTCCCTCAACGCCTAGCCCCACCTTCGTTCCCGCCCATTGTAAAAAAAATCGCAACTGCACTTTCCCATCTGGATTTTTTCTGTCGGGCCCCACCATCGACCTCAGAGCCGCAGCCCCACCAAGCCGGCGCGGGACGTGCTCCCCCTCCAGAACGTCTATAAAATCTCGTCGACCGCGCCGTCCTTTCACCTTTTCTCTTCTTCTTTTCTTCATGTCGACAATACTTCAGTATGTCTCACCCCCTACATTTGCCCTTCCCAGCGCCCATACACGAAAAAAGAAACGGTTTGCTAACCACCGCCCAACAGGAGAATCATTTCTATAGTATTCGACCTATTCTTGGTTCCCTAAAAGAGCCACAGATCCCACCCTGGTTGATGAGTTGTATCCTCGACACCCTAGAGTGAAGAACTCCTGGTTGCTCTCGACCTATCCGAAAGGATGGCGGCCTCGGACTTGTTTCTGGGGCTGTATAGAGAGCGGTGATGATCTCGTCCCTGTCTGCGGTCTTGCCCTTGGGCGCGCGGGCAGGGTGGGTGTTGATGGACGTCTGACAGGCGTGTCTTTTTTTCATTTTTTTTTTTCATTGCGGGCTGGAGCTTGACTCTGGTCGTGAGGAAGAAACTTTTCTTGTGGCGTTGGGCTTGAAATTTCTGCTGGTCTGGACACCAAGGCCTGGCCCGAGGGTCGGATACGCATCCCAAAGTGAAGACTTTTTATGGATGAAAGTAGTATAGCACAATACTGTATGAACCGCGCGACGGCACAGCACTATTGTGAAGTCCATCCTTGCATTGGCTTTACCTCACCCATTATCTTTATTGCTTCCAAGTGGGAGCCTTCTGAGGCATTGAAACACACGTAGAGCATTAAGGTGAAGGTCATATCCAATCGTATTCATGCGCCTAATCCCAAGAACCACTCTGTTGATATACAACCAGGCCAAACTATAAAATACAAGTTCATCGTGGTGTGCCCATTTACTCGGCAACCCAGACGGCGCTCATGCCCATACCGGTACCGATACACATGGAAGTGTTGCCAATCTTCTTGCCCGTGCGATTAAGCTCGTACAGTAGGGTGGAGACCTGTCGCGCGCCAGTGCAGCCCAGAGGGTGGCCAAAGGCGATGGCACCGCCCTTGGGGTTGACCTTCTCGAACGGAATGCCGAGCTGCTCGGCACTCCACAGGCACTGGGAGGCAAACGCCTCGTTGATCTCGTAAATATCGACGTCCTCGGTGGCGATGCCAGCGAGGGCGTTGGCCTTGGGGATGGCCTTGGCAGGTCCCTGTCCCATCAACAAGGGCGGCAGACCAACAATGGCAGCCGACACGAACTTGCCGAGGATGGGCTGGCCGAGACGCTCGGCGGTGGAGCGCTTCATGAAGAGAACGGCAGCGGCACCATCGGAAACCTGAGAGGCGTTACCGGCGTGGATGCTGCCGTCCTTGGCGAAGGCAGGCTTAATCTTGCCCAGGGACTCAGCGGTGACGCCAGCGCGAACACCGTCGTCCTTTGCGACGGTGATCTCCTTGGTCTCGCCGGTCTTGGGGTCCTCCCACTTGACGGTAAGAGGGGCAATCTCCTGATCAAAGAGACCCTCCGCCTGGGCCTTTGCGGCCTTGGCGTAGGAGGAGGCGGCGAAGGCATCCTGCTTGGTGCGGGCAATGCCGAGGTCGCGGGCCATGTCCTCGGAGAGAACACCCATGGGAACCTTGCAGTTAGCGGCCTGGGGGGTGTTCTCAAGCTGCTCGGAGAATTCGGAAACGGCGCCAGGGCTGGAGAACTATCAGTTGGCTTCTGGAAATAGTGGTAATCGGGATGTGAACCTACCCGTATTGCGTGGACATGCTCTCAACACCGGCGCCAATGCCGATCTCGATCATGCCGGTCTTGATCTGGTTGATGACGTCGACGCAAGCCTGCAGACCAGAAGAGCACTGGCGGTTGAGGGTGCGGACGGCAGTGGTCTCGGGGAAGCCAGCGACGAGGGCAGCGGCGCGCATCTCGGTAGCACCACCGCCGGGGGCAAGGACAGTGCCGACGGCGATATCCTCGACGAGGGCAGGATCGATCTTGGAGCGCTCAAGGAGAGCCTTGAAGGCGCCGGCGACGAGGTCGGCAGCCTGGGTGTCCTTGAAGCCACCCTTGCCACCCTTTGTGAAGGCCGTTCGGAGGGCTGCGGTAACGACAACCTGGGGAGAGGAGTGTTAGAAAGGGTTATTCTCCGCGTGTGCCGAGGTTTGGAGCTTACATCGTCGGCGTTCTTCTGGAGGAGCTTCTCCTTGTTGCTGCCGCTGGAGAACTGGCCTCCCAGCTGAGTCAATCTCTCGAGAGCTATTCAAACATGACTGTTAGCATCGCAGACAACCATAGGGAAGCCAATGCAAGCTACTCACCACCCATTTTGTGTAGATGTGAAGCTTAAAGGATTGGTGGATATAGTAAACAAAGAGATGCTGGGGATGTGAAGGTATGCAGCGGTAGATGGGAGAGGATAAGTATGTAAAGGATAAGAAAAAGGTCTACGACGGGGACTAGGTATGGATCGGATCCCAGATTGGCAGACGAGCCTCGGATGTTCAGAGCAGGCGTGACAAAGGAGCCGCGACGTGGTGGCAGTTCGAGAAACCAGCGGTGCTGGGGGCCGTGGGCGCTGATGTCAGCTGGGGTACCTGCAATTCCGACCGAGGCATTCCCAAAGGCCACACCGCATTGGTGCGAAACGACCAAGGTTGGGGTGGACCCG